ACACTGTATCAACCCAAATTCTCTAGATACAATGACAATACCTATGGGTTTCCATCCACACTGTAGCAACATCAGAATCAAACTCTGAATGATAAGCTGGCACACAATCCATTCGGCCACCACTGATAACAAATACAACACACAATCCATCGGGACAGTTCCACAAAGTGATCTTAGTGCTAAGATGATCGTAACTCCCATAATTTAACATAGACTTATGACAGTTGCAGCGCTATGATTGGTTTGTGGAACTGTCCCCTGGTCTTCCAGTTGACAAATATGTCCAAACATTGGCATCTGTAGAAAGCCTGTTTCCAGAAGCTGCTGATCATCAGTTGACAAGTTGTCTCTGTTCCTGTGGACTAAGTGAGGTCTCGATAGAAGCATTTACAATGAATTATGCACGTTGTGTACATCCAGGTGTATATACAAGAGGACATGGGGAGGACACATGCAAGGAAGGGAGGACAAAGCTTTACAAGTATTGAGCCATGTAGCATCATTGGAACTTGAACATATAAACATTTCCTCTAGTGTCCACACATTAAATCATTCACATCAACAAAATAGTAGACTAGAACATTTAACAACTGACTTGACTGGAACTCAGGATGAAATGCAGAACAATGCTGGATCAGGTCCAGGCCCCGATTTCTCGAAACAAACTTAAGTCTTAGTTTCGACTTAAGTTAGAGTTTTTACTCAAATTTGAGAAAATGCATTTCCCAAAATGAACTAAAATCGATATTAAACTCAAACATAGTAGACGATTTGAGTATGGTGGATAGATTACTTAAGTTGTTTGGGCTTTTCTATTTAAAAAATGCAGTTGAGTTAAAAATTCAGCTGTTTCAAATTGTCCAACTCAGTTTGAAATTTGAGTAAAAACTTTTTGTTTCGAGAAATCGGGGCCTGATGTTGAAGTTCACAATGAACAATCAAACCAAAACAAAACAAAAAGAAAAACAAACAAATTCAGAGACATGATACGTAGTGAAGAAAGAAGGAAAACACATTTTCCTCTATGAAACACTTGTCTAAACCTTGAGGCATTCACTCCTCTAATACCTCAAATATTGTGAACATGGTATTTGTTTCAAAAGCTTCACTTGATAATGACATGGGATATACAGCTTAAAAAAAGTAAGGACCACCCAATTCTTTCACATTATTGTAGTAAATCTATCATATTACTACAGATAAGAGAGATTAACTGAATTGGACAACAGCAGCTCTCTGGACATGTCTACAGACACAGAAGAATATAGCTCTTGATTTTGTTCCTATTTCTATAGTTGATCTGGCTTCACATGACAGAAGTACAGCCTTGTGTCGCTTTTGCAATATTCCAGCAATATCACAGCGAGGTCACCAGAAACTGGCTTCACACATTGTACCCATGTGGACAATTGAACTTAGGGGTTCCATGAGCAAACTGTCTAACCACTAGGCTTCCAAACAGGCTGTCCTTACGAGAGATTAACTGACTGAGTTTAGTTTTATGCCTCTTTTAGCAATATTCCAACAATATCATGCAGGGGACACCAGAAATGGGCTTCACACATTGTACCCATGTGGGAATTGAACCCAGGTCCTTGGCGTGACAAGCGAATGCTTTAACCACTAGGCTACCCCACAGCCCCTGAGAGAGTAATTATTGTAATATGACAGAAATGAGTGGTACAAGACATTTTTTAGTTGTACATTCACACACTAGAACTTTGAATCATGTGATGAGATTCAATCAAAATATGAACATTATGCAGTCTATATTTTAGAACAGAGAGATTTCAAACCAACCTTTTTGCAATAAAATCTTGACAAAAATATGGACATGAAAGATCATAATGTGTTAAACGTGATCATGAAATCGAAGAAAATCTCAACAGATGCAACTGTTTCATGTCTAAGCTTCATTAAATAGGTTCATTCCAACATAGGATCACCTGTATTTCACTAATTGCTTTGTAAGTATACCTGTGTAAAGCTGACACAACCGATAAAATCAAAGATGGATAAACAATGGAATATTGAAAGAATTGCATGACATGGATATGCTGGGATGAATGACAACAGCTGATTTCAAGACATGACCACAGCCACAGGTAATACAATCTCCCTCATATACAAAATCCTCATTCAGTCAAAAATCATCAGACAGAGGAACAAAGGGTCACTTATAAAGTTAGGTGACCTAAAATGGCATTCTACTGTGTACATCATCAGGGATATAGTATTTGGTCTAAGGTATGTTAAAAACGATAATTTGATCAACTTAACACTCCTTTCCTCACTCTATTGCCTCCCTCCCTCCAGCCCCCATACTAACAATTAGATATGAATCTATTGTACGCCATCCTTCACTAATCCTCCGTTTTCACAAGACAAGACACTAACAACATTTTATGTGACCCTTAACATCTACAGTACAAATCTCAAAAACCTGGACCTTGTTAATCCACAAACCTCTCTTTCCATAACATCAAACTGGTCACAAACACACTGCTATATAATTCTCTACTATAGTGTATATGTCATGAAACAGTTATACACCAGGGACCAATTTCTCAAAACAAACTAAGCCTGGGATATCACTTAATAAAACTTAAAATTTACGTTGCAAAATGCATTTTCCGAATTCAACTGAAATCGATTATAAACTCATTGTTCCATTTTTCACAATGTTCTTATTATCAAAATTAATAAAGCTTATTATTCTGCTAGTAATTTTTTAAAAGGGACTGAGTTAGAAACTCGGCTGTTTCAAATGATCAAACTCGGTTTGAAATTTGAGTAATAACCTAAGTTTGTTTCGAGAAAACTGGCCGAGACCTTTGTGATAAAAGCAGACCTGCCAAAACTCAACAGGCCAGATTAGAAACATGTTTCCATCTTCAATATTTGATTTGCTTAATAACAAGTACAAATTTCATGTCACATAAATCAGTGATCTAGTCATGTAATTGTCATAACAACTTTGCTTTTTACACTATATCAAGATATTAAAGACTAGTTATTCCCTGGCATTGTCTTTTAATATTTAGATAAAACAGGTTATCAGTAACTTCACTGATTTGATTGTAAGAGAACCTGAATTGCTTACTGACACACCAACATCATCAGTCCTGAGTTATGTTATGTTCTGCTACTGCCTAGGTAATATACCTACCCAGTCATCTTGGGTTGGGGCAACTGTAACAAATCTCTGCGGAATGTGGTATGTCTTGAAACGCAACAGTAGTAACAAATTAGAACTGATTAAAAGTCAAACAAATGTTTTCCACATTCATTCACGCCATCTGCTTTTACCAAGGCCATGTAGCACTGACATTGTTCCAACTATCCATGTCCAAATTGGCCACCACCTCCTTAATTCTAATAGTGCATTCAAAATATTTCCAATGCATTTATCTTCTTACTTTACACCAACAGTTTTGTTTTATGCCACTTTTAGCAATATTCTAGCAATATCACGTCAGGGGACACCAGAAATGGGCTTCACACATTGTACCCATGTTGGGTATCGAACCCGGTTTTTAACCACTAGGCTACCCACCTCCCTCAAAACTATTAGCATGAGAGTAGCAAACCTGCATGATCTGCATCACTCTGGGCTATAAACTGACGAGCTGTGAGAGAACTGAATCACCATCAATCATGGCCCTAGTCCCTAGCTCACAAATATCAGATCCAGCTCAAGCTTATCTCTGAGTGCCCTTCTCTGAGAACATAACTTGTAGTAATAATAGACTGATGAAGAAATGGACGCCCAGTATGTCCAAGGATTAATTGGAACAGTCAGCAAAAAAGTAGGGCTGTCAATGATTAAAACCTTCAGCACCATATTCAAACAAATGATTTAAGTAATTTGTGTTATCGTATACCAGTGTACAAAGCTATTACAAATTCAAATGCATTATATATCAGTCCAGTTCATTCCACAAATTGACTTTCAAACATAATCATTTGCATTGTTGTATGAAAAAGCAACTACTGTAGGAAATGTGTATTTTGTGACCTCTCACATGAGGTTGATATAGCTATTAGCAAAACGATCAGTCACTATCCGTAAGGGAAAACTTCAATAGTATGCAAAGACCCAATACACAGAATAAGAAAATGAATAAAAAAACTGGAATATCTGTTCCCACTTACTGACAAACCAAAATATTTATTCATCAAACACAATACACTAATTAAGATACAAAAGATTCTTGTTTTCATTTTGACCTACTCATGATGATTTTCTTGCAAATAAATTGTAAACACTAAAAAATACAAGTGTGGCCTAATCTACCAAGATGCTGAAACATTCACTGACAGCCCCAGAAATAGCTGGAAATACTTGAGATTGGTATTACAGTAGGCATTCATTACAAGCATTCATACCCATCCGTTACCGTGGTAACTGCATTGACATTGCAATAAACAAGTACAATCAATATTTTACAAGAAATCATCTTATGCCTTCGTACGTCCAGCAAAGACAGGATTGTTTAGTAAACCGACATCTGAACTAACAAATGTGCATATCTGTTGTTGAATATTGCCACTACGTACATGACACGTATATCAAAGTCCTCTCACACATGGGCCCTGCCCCGGCCTACTACAGAAATTACACTTATGAGCAAAAAGGTGCAAAATGGCCATGCACTGATCACTTTGCACACAGACAAGTAAAACAGGGCCCCGTTTCACAAAGATATCGTAGTGCAATGCCTGTTGTGCCTCCTATACTGTAACATAGACTTACGACAGTCGTAGCGCTACGACAGCTTTGTGCAGGTCCCAGGGCCTCAGTGCTCACAGCAGGCCTAGTGCTAAGGTGATCGAACGTCCCATACTCACATCGGCTTACATTCACCATAAAGCTAAGATCTCTCTGTGCAACAGGGCCCTCATTGCAAAATTAACAATCGACATTGATAAAGATGTGTCAGAAATATGCACCTCTGTCCTAGCAATGTTGTATATTTGCATTATGTTGTATTCTCTGTGTGATTTTCATCAGAACAGACTATTCAAATTACTCAGGAAGGCACTTGCAGAACTGGTCAAGAGCCCATGCTACTCAAGTGATGCTGCATCACGTATCGTGCAAAGTCTACAAATAATGACATGTTTCATGTCTTTAGTGCAATGTCCGTCATGATCATTTCACAAACTGTTTGCTCATAAGCAAATTTCTTTTATGTGGCAGGTATGTTGATATCCCATGATACAATGTGACACTTCCAGGTGAAAAGCAAATCCTTAATTACCTCAGTCAGATTTACAAATTTCTGTACACCGTAAAATGGCATGATGTATTATGACAATCGCTAAATATCGATATGACATAATGTGAAATTTTACCAACATTTCAAAACAAACTGTTGAATAAAAAAGTAAAATTAACATGCCATTACAATTAATTTACAGAGACAGAACGTAACTTTCCATGCAGATCAGCCACAACATTTAGAGTATTTGTTTAAAAAGGCATTTCTGCTTATTAAGTTCTATCTCTGAAGTAATTCTTGTTAATATATATCACACTGAAGGATCTCGGAGGGAACAGTTTGCCATGACAGTGACATTATGTCATGGAATCATCACCAAAAAATTTCCCTTGCACAAAAAAACCGAGGTTAAATATGGGCTAGGATACTGGAAAGATACCTGTGCCACAAGAGAAACATGTCGTGAAATGGCAGTTGTTACTCCTCCCTTATTTGCTTGACGGCTCTCAAACCATCAGCCAAAGAATAGAGGTCTTTGACACATCGTAGTCTTGGTAACTGGTACCACACAAATTGAAGGTGTTTGACACATCGTAACCAAGCTAATCCACAGACACAAATTGAAGGTCTTTGACACATCGTAACCACGCTAACTGGTATCCAAGGACACAAATTGAAGGTCTTTGACAGATCGTAACCACTGTCACTAGTACCAACTAGGATTGGTGGTCTTTGACACATACATAACCATAGTAACCGGTTACTGACAGAGATTGAAATGTCTTCGACACACATGTAACAATTGTAACCCACAGACACAAACTGGAGGTCATCGACACAAGTGTAACCATTACAAATGGTAAAGAGAACAGCAACAGACATTCTGGAAAAAAATGTAAAATGTGAAATCTGCAAAATTCCCAAGAATCACAAGTTGAATCCATTCACTTTGACACAGATTTGGTCTCATTCATCCACATGCACGATGACAGCAACAATCAACAAGACGATGCACTCGGCCTGCGCCGCATGTTCTTAGTTGCAGAAATTGGTGGGTTAATTCGCATTGTTAATGCAGACCCTAGACACAGTTTTGAGGGCACACTGTTCCCCCCTGGTAACTGAATGAGAACTGTCCCGACTGCTGCTACGCCGTCGTCAGTTGGCTCTATTGCTATGGGATTAATGTTCAAATGGTCATCCCGGTACGTGGGGATATGAAGTGGGCTTTCGATCTGGTGAATATTTCGAGTGATTTTCGTTGCACGAGTCCTTTTAGGTATCATAGCTGGCATTGAGATGGAGTGTTCAGGCTCCACTAGTAAAAGAACTTTGGCAAATGGCCGTGATGCCATGCACTCCATTTCCCGTGCTCGTAGTTGGCGTGTGCGCCGTGCGTCGAAGGCCTGTTTCATTTTCCACAACATAACACACATGGCGAGGAAGAGGAAGAAGCAGGAGAAGAAGACAGAGAAGAAGACGAACAGATCGATGTGAGGCTGATCCTGGCGGAAATACAAACTGCCGTATGTCACGTTATGGTTTCCATCACCCTGGCTTTTCAGAATCAAGTAGAAACGAGCTGTTCGCAGCTCATGATTGTCACGGGGTAGGGTTATAATAAGTCGGAATCTAACATCACGGACTCTAAGGATGGTGTTCTGTCGATAGATTGTGATGAAAGTGTTCAGATCATTGGCTTTTCTTTCGTCCTGGAAGAACCCTTGTGATACAGATACAGCTGATAACTTGCTTTCCAGTGCTTCCTTGTCCATGTCTACTGAGTGGATTCCTGTCCCCTTCCCAACTATCACACGGAATGTGTTTTCCTTGTTAGAGAAATACACATCCACCCCTGGAAAACAGAAACCTCAGTTTAGCAGTTGACTTGTCCTTGTATGTACAAAACAGTCACACAAATACATGTGCAAAATGAAGCAACAGGGTGCAATTTTGTTGTTTTATCAGTACCTGCACCGAGTGCAACCTGGCTTATAGGTTTGGCTGCACCATCAAAATTTTGGTTGCACCTTAAAATAATGTCACTGGTTCTATTAGGTAACAAAAATATTTGTTAATTTTCATAACAATCCTCAGTATCAGATACATTCAACAGAACCTGACCCCATGATGATACATGATTAATGATTCTGTTTCAATTTTGCCTTACCTTTATTCCTAAATCTCAATTATATAACTTCTACGAAACGGATTTATGAGTACACAAATGTTCATGCTTGTAACAAGTCATGTGGAGAGAAAAACATTACTTACAGTCACTTACTTCCCATTTAAAACACACAATGACAGCTATAAGATGTTGGAGGTTTTATTGTTACCTGCACGGAGTGCAACCTGTTACTGAGGTAACCCCCCATTACCCCTACATGCCACTACCCCTACAGCTTACAACAACATAGTTTACGGTCTGTTGCACTGTTAATCCCCTGCCTGTTACCTATTCCATACAATGGACTAATCCACTTAAGAGACATAACAACACACAGCTATAAGACTGAGAGAATGATTTTAATGAAGGTTGATATCATCATTTGTCATCATCAAGATTTTAATAAGGATTAACAATAAGTTGTCATCATGATTAATTGATGAACATTAACAATTAATTGTTAACATTCAATGTACATAGTACAGTGTTGATACCCATAGTACAGTGTTGATACCCATAGTACAGTGTTGATACTAAACCCCTTTAAATAGAAATATGATTTTTGTCTTAATTCCGTGTATTTATTGCATGTAAAGAAATAATGCACAGCATTTTCGACTGGATGTCCACATGAGCACGAGGGGCTGTCGATGATGTCTATCAAACCTATCAGCATTCAAATCAAATCAGTTTAGATAAAAAATAATAGTTTTGTTATATTGTCTTAATATCGAGTTTTTGAATCGGGATAAAGTATCAATATTTTGAATTTCCGAACTTAGGGATTTCCACAGTTTTTTTGTATCAGGTAGAAATGATCTGGCATATGTCGTCGGTAAGATGAAAGATTTGTAGATAATTTCTAAACTTTTATGCGATAATCGATATTTCAAACTTCTTGAGCATTTAATCAGTGGGCTAACTTTCGTTTCATAGAGTTTATGTGAATATCCTAGTAACAATTATTTTGAAGGGTCAAGATGCTTATGATTATCTACGTCTTGGTTATCACACCGTTCATTGTAAGATCAGGTTCAATGCTTCTATTTAGTTTTCTACTGAACTGTATTGATTTTGTTTTGTTAGGATTGAATGAAACCTTCCATTCTACTCACTAGAGGTTTATCTTTCATCATGAAACTAATCAACTTTTAGCTGATCCCAAATTTCCTTGACACAAAACACTATCCAATTTGTAAAATTGTTCTACTCACTAGAGGTTTATCTTTCATCATGAAACTAATCAACTTTTAGCTGATCCTAAATTTCCTTGACACAAAACACTATCCAATTTGTAAAATTGTTCTACTCACTAGAGGTTTATCTTTCATCATGAAACTAATCAACTTTTAGCTGATCCCAATCTGTATACTCTATGCACTAATCTCTCCTTGGGTCAGTCCATTATGCCAGACAGGTAAATGCTGTGTGTTGTTTTAACTAATTGTAGGGGTACTGGGGTGTAGGGGTAATGGTATGTAGGGGTTATGGGGTACACCAAACCGTTACTGAAGGTAACCTGCACCAGGAACTTTTAACATGCACCAGTGCAGGTTGTAAATAGCGAAAACACTCCCTAAGCAATACAAATTCTGACTACAAATGATGTTCATAAGTAAAACCATTGTGGCCAGCAAATACCCATTTTTGTACTCTCTCATGGACAAGACTTGTTTTGTCTCAATTTCCATGGTTATCCAATACTTTAGATAGGACATATGTTAGCATTATATCTTGCCTCCCATTGTCAAATCAATTCAAATACGAATAATGACGGTCAAATATTTTGGACAGGGCTTCTGTCAACATTAAATCTTACCTCCCATCGTTACATCTATTGTAATACGAATATTGACGTTCAGATATTTTGGTTGGACTGCAAAAAAGACCGTTCTTCCTTGTCTGAGGGCCATAGGTTCTCGGTTGCAGTTGTTCTGTGTCTCCGGGTCGAAGCAATACTCCTTGTCTACAGTCATCTGGCGGTAACACTGATGGTTGTTGGTGGGGGTCCCCATGAAGTACTCCCGACACTCAGAACACTGCAACACAATCAAATGCTCCATTTAAAGAAGACGACATGGTCTCCTCAGATACTTCCACCATTGTGAACCTATGTGTGATACACTTTCAAATATTGGTATCCAGATACATGAAGTACCTATTTGAAAGCAAAAGACAACAAACTTCATGAAATTCGTGCATATGTCAATATGGTAATATATTATGTCTAAAACCTCATCTAATCTCCCAGTCACGTCACATCTATGTCCTATTTATTCTTTTACCAGACCTAATGCTATGTGAATACAAGGCTGTGTTAATGTACTGCTTATTTCAACAACATTCAGGATCTCAGGACTGAGTGTATCACATACCTGAGTCAAGATAATTGCTTACCAGTTGGCACTTGAAGGTGATAAAATGGACATAGTGACATATTGATAATTTTGTGATACATTGCCCCCCTACCTGTCTCTGCCAACATGGCTCTGTACTGTCCTTGTCACACTTGCTCTCCGTGTTGTTCTGACACAGACAACTCTCCCCAGTCTGTCGGTTACACATGTTGCTGTGGCCGTTACACTGACACCTGAAAACATCAGTAACATACCGACAGTGACACCTGAAAACATCAGTAACATACTGACACCTGAAAACATCAGTAACATACTGACATTGACACCTGAAAACATCAGTAACATACTTGAAAACATCAGTAACATACTGACATTGACACCTGAAAACATCAGTAACATACAGACAGTGACACCTGAAAACATCAGTAACATACTGACAGTGACACCTGAAAACATCAGTAACATACTGACATTGACACCTGAAAACATCAGTAACATACTGACATTGACACCTGAAAACATCAGTAACACACTAACATTGACACCTGAAAACATCAGTAACATACTGACATTGACACCTGAAAACATCAGTAACACACTAACATTGACACCTGAAAACATCAGTAACACACTGAACATTGACACCTGAAAACATCAGTAACACACTGACACCTGAAAACATTAACACACTGACACCTGAAAACATCAGTAACATCACTAACATTGACACCTGAAAACATCAGTAACACATTAACATTGACACCTGAAAACATCAGTAACACACTAACATTTGACACCTGAAAACATCAGTAACAAAACATTGTACACCATTGACAAAAACATCAGTAACATACTAACATTGACACCTGAAAACATCAGTAACATACTGACACCTTCAGTACACCTGAAAACATCAGTAACATACTGACATTGACACCTGAAAACATCAGTTAGATACTGACACCTGAAAAAACATCAGTAACATACTGACACCTGAAAACATCAGTAACATACTGACACTGACACCTGAAAACATCAGTAACATACTGACACCTGAAAACATCAGTAACATACTGACACCTGAAAACATCAGTAACATACTGACACCTGAAAACATCAGTAACATACTGACACCTGAAAACATCAGTCAGACACCTGAAAACATCAGTAACATACTGACACCTGAAAACATCAGTAAGAAAACATACTGACACCTGAAAACACATCAGTAACATACTGACACCTGAAAACATCAGTAACATACTGACACCTGACAGACATCATCAGTAACATACTGACACTGACACCTGAAAACATCAGTAACATACTGACACCTGAAACATCAAAACATCAGTAACATACTGACACTGAAAACATCAGTAACATACTGACACCTGAAAACATCAATAACATGACTGACACTGACACCTGAAAACATCAGTAACATACCTGAAAACATCAGTAACACACTGACACCTGAAAACATCAGTAACACACTGACACCTGAAAACATCAGTAACATACTGACACCTGAAAACATCAGTAACATACTGACACCTGAAAACTTCAGTAACACACTGACACCTGAAAACATCAGTAACACACTGACACCTGAAAATCAGTAACACACTGACACCTGAAAACATCAGTAACATACTGACACCTGAAAACATCAGTAACACATTGACACCTGAAAACATCAGTAACATACTGACACTCACACCTGAAAACACCAGCAACACATTAACATTGACACCTGAAAACATCAGTAGCATACTAACATTGACACCTGAAAACATCAGTAACATACAGACACTGATGCCTGACAATGCCCCCAACATACTGACTGAACAAAAACCTCAATTCAAATATATACGCCTTCTCTGGGACCAAATTATCTTCTCATATCTGTCCTAATTCCTCCTATCACATACACAACAATGAGCATGGAAAGCGGATTCTGCAACTGCTGAGGGCCATCAAGCATGGGCTTCACATACTGTACACAGAGGATTAACAGTGGGTGAGTGAGTATGGTTTCATGCCACATTTTGCAATATTCCATTAACATCACATCAGAGCGATGGTGACAATTGTTACAACTTACGCAGTGCACTCTTTAGTTTTGGGTTCTTCCTGCAGTCTGAAGTGTCCTTGCATACACATCTGGCAGTGCACGCCCTGAGTATTATGCTGGCAGTCCACACATATAGCTTCATCCTCCGTTGGCCCTCGTCTGCTCTTGCTGAGTGGGTCATTCTATCAATTGGTTGACAAGAATTCAGAGTGAGTGAGTGAATGAGTTTAGTTTTACGCCGCACTCAGCAATATTCCAGCTATATGGTGGTGGTCTGTAAATAATCGAGTCTGGACCAGACAATCCAGTGATCAACAACATGTGTCAACCAAGTCAGCGAGCCTGACCACCCGATCCTGTTAGTCGCCTCTTACGACAAGCATGGGTTACTGAAGATCAATATTCTAACCCGGGCCTTCACAGGTCAAGAATTCAGAACAGGGTAATAAATGATGCAAAATATCTACAAGACTAACTTTAAATGCCTCGAAAATAGATCTTCCTCATGGAATATACACAAAGTATTGCCATGTATTGTATCTTGACTGTGTGTGTTGCTTCTTTGATGCCAACATAATTTGCAACAATCCAAGTACAGTGGCCTATGTATGATTGAGTCTGGACCAGACAATCTCATGATATTCTGATTTACACTCTCCTCCATTGGGTTATATTAACACTCTCTCTGCCTAATCACAGAGCCCAACCACCTGTACCCTGTTTCACAAAGCTCTTGTAAGCCTAAGATCTCGTAACTTTCTCGTACAAAACAGACTTCCTATACTGTAGCAAAGACTTACGACATTCATAGCGCTTTGATAGATTTGTGGAACGGGGCCCAGAGCCTCCTTTCACAAAGCACTAAGGTAATCGTACGTCACTAAGGTAGCCTTAGTGTAATGTTAAAGAATGGGAGCTAAGGTTAACCTTAGTAAAGGTTGCTTTGTAAAAGGAGCCCCAGATCCATGAAGTGACCTCTTATGATCAGGGTTGTTTGAGATCATGTCTAACCAGTTTTGTTCCTTGACTATCATGAAACATAAGGCAGGCATATTCTGCCACCCAAACACTACGTGCTACTACAGCACAGTTACAAGGTGCCACGACTACTCACATCCAGCCTGCACTTGTTAGTATGGTTGTTGCAGAACTGATGGCAAGGTATACACTTTCCTCCCTTCTTCGGATTGCCCACAAAGTTTTCCTTGCACTCTCCACAATCTTTTCCCTGAAACAGAAACTCATTCATCACTTCTCACCCTAACAATTCACCTCAATTTCCATTACTGCCTGAATGTTCCACATTCACCATGTCTAATAAGAACATGCATCTGTTACTTTTGTTGTTGAGTAGTTTCAGGTCTTGTTCTGTTCTCAGGTGTTGCTGTACTGCATGTATCTATCTATTGCTATTGGGCTTTGTGGTTTGTTGTTTAATGCCACACTCAGCAATATTCCAGCTACTAGTATATGGCGGCGGTCTGTAAATAATCAAGTCTGGACCAGACAATCCAGAGATCAACAACATGAGCATTGATCTACACAATTGGGATATAACAAGCATTGTCACTAAGGTGACATAATCCACTGCCGCAAATTATCAAATCAAACTAAAAAAGTAATGAAAGTTTAAGATGAAGTTAAATGTCAACAAAAACAGGACCAGTCAACCTCTCTTGACATCTTGCTCTTTAGTTGTTCAAACACACAAATATTTTCAAGACTGACTTTGACCTTGACATGACTGACTGACTGAGTTTGGTTTTACGCCGCTTTTAGCAATATTCCAGCAACATCACGGCACGGGACACCAGAAATGGGCTTCACACATTGTGCCCATGTGGGGATTCGAACCTGGGTCTTCGGCGTGACGAGCCAACGCTTTAACCATTAGGCTACCCCACCGCCCCGACCTTGACATGAATGTCATAGTGGATGAAATATGCAAAAATGGTACTAAAGAAATTGCTTATTGAAAAATATTCAAGGGAAGTCTTGAAAGTCTATGAAGAAAATCCAGTGAATTCAGGTTAACATGCTGAAATCTTCAAAGTGTCGCAGTGACCTTGAAAATTATGTGAAGGTCACCACAATTGACTGGGCCCTGCACTTTCCCTAGATGAAGATTGGTGTCAAATATGAAGAAAGTCCAGTGAATGGTTCTTGTGATATCTCGCTGACCATCTTAACATGCAGGTTAACACACTGAAATCTTCAAAGTGTCACTGGGACCTTGAAAATCAAGAGAAGGTCAACCAAGTCAACTGGGCCCTGCGCCTTCCCTGGATGAAGCTTGGTGTCAAATATGAAGGAAATCCAGGAATGGTTCTTGAGGTATCTCGCTGACAAGCATAACATGCAGGTTAACACACTGAAATCTTCAAAGTGTCACTAGGACCTTGAAAATCAAGTGAAGGTCACCCAAATCAACTGGGCCCTGCGCCTTCCCTAGATAAAGTTTGGTGTTGAATATGAAGAAAATCTAGTGAACAGTTCTTGAGATATCTCGCTGACAAGGGTAAAACGTTAAAGTCCTCTTGTGACTTTGAAATTAAGGTCAAGGTCACCAAACCTGACTGGGACCTTTCTTATACTGTGATGAACCTAGGTACCAAATATGAAAAGAAACTAGTCAACATTCTTAAGATATTCCAATTCGTACGTACGTATGTACGGACGGACGGATAGAGCCTGATACTATATCCCCGCTACGCGCTAAACCTGCAGCGGGGGATAATAACATGGGCCAACCAAGCTAGACAGCCTGACTACTCATTCTTAGTTGCCTCATACAACAAGCATGGGTTGCTGATGACCAATTCTGACCTGGATCTTCACAGGTTATCTCTATTGTGTATTACCTGAGTATTGTTGAGGCACTGGGTGCAGTTATCAGCTTTTGTTTCATCCTCACAGTTGCTGTGCATGTTACACTGGCACTCCGTGTTGCAGCTGACGCCGACCCAACCGAAGTTGCACTCACACTGGTCAGGATGGACGCACTTGCCTTGATTACAGCGCTGGTGGCACACTGGTCCACACTGCTCACCCCTGGAACATACACAAACTCAAATACAGGAATAGAACAATCTGTGACACACTGTGACATACAGTTGCTCTCCGGGACATACACAAACTCAAATATACGAATAGAGCGACCAGTGACACACTGTGACATACAGTTGCTCTCCGGGACATACACAAACTCAAATATAGGAATAGAGCAATCACTGGCACACTGTGACATACAGTTGCTCTCCGGGACATACACAAACTCAAATATAGGAATAGAGTGACCAGTGACACACTGTGACATACAGTTGCTCTCTGGGACATACACAAACTCAAATATACGAATAGAGCGACCAGTGACACACTGTGACATACAGCTACTCTCTGGGACATACACAAACTCAAATATAGGAATAGAGTGACCAGTGACACACTGTGACATACAGCTACTCTCTGGGACATACACAAACTCAAATATAGGAATAGAGTGACCAGTGACACACTGTGACATACAGTTGCTCTCTGGGACATACACAAACTCAAATATAGGAATAGAGCGACCAGTGACACACTGTGACATACAGCTACTCTCTGGGACATACACAAACTCAAATATAGGAATACAGTGACCAGTGACACACTGTGACATACAGTTGCTCTCCGGGACATACACAAACTCAAACACTTGGGAACTATGAGCGAAGGAGCGAGTATGGTATAATTCCAGCAATATCACAGCAGAGGACACAAGACATTGGCTTCAAACATTATACTCGCATGGGGAATCGTTTCAGGGTTTCTGGCATGACAAGCGTTTGCTCTAACCACCAGGTTACCAATTAACCCTGTGGCACTGTGACACACAACACACAGGGTTACACAAGCACACCCCTGAAACAAACTCAAATACTGAGACTGAATGCCAGAACATTATCAAGGCATTCTGTCAGATTTAGTCAAGCCTGTTTGATAGATTCCTGGTCTTTCAAAGGCTAGTTTACAAATCAATGTGTTTTCAAGGCGACTCTGCCAAGTAAAGACCTTTTCAAGGCAGATCTTAAATTTGTTGCCTTTTCTAACTTCTGAACGTTGTATTTGTAGAGCTAGTGAGCGAGTTTGGTTTTACGCCGCTTTTAGCAATATTCCAGCAACATTGAGTCGGGGGACACCAAAAATGGGCTTCACACATTGTAACCATGTGGGGAATAGAACCTGGATCTTTCGGCGTGACGAGTGAACGCTTTAACCACTAGGCTACCCCACCGCACCTTGTATTCGTAGAAAAACAGGAGAGGCACTTACTGCTGAGTGGCCACATATCCGCTCTTACATTCGCACTTGAAGTGGGAGGGAGTGTCAATGCAGCTCTGAGTCTTCTCTCGTTGCAGGTGTGGTGACCATTGAGGCACTCATTCTCAGGTGGGCAGCTGTCAAAGGACCAGATGTGGGCACCAGCAACTCCGTCGGACTGTGTTTCTGTAAATTTATCCGTCTTTCCTTAAATAGATCACAGACCCCTATTAACAGCAAGGTGTCAAAACTGACTGATCAGAAACAAAGCAAAACACAAATCAAAAGTAACCTTGGATACTGAACACGTCAAACAGTGGAGAGCGTGTGTAGCAGTTCAGGGTCATTTTCACGGAAAAACAAATAAAAATAATTGGGAACAAAAGAACTATTGAAACTAGTAGAAAAGAGAGTCTCTCAGTTTGTATTATCAACATTTTACAACAAATCAGAAACAAAGAGTAAAGAGTTGGAACAATAAAACGCGTTCATGTATTAAATGCAAATCTACATGGCTGGGGTCAATATTTAATGGAAAATCAAGTTACTGTGTGTTTTGGAGAACATGTGTAAAAGCCTTCTCTTAATCGTATGTGTATAATAATTCCCCCCAAAATCATATTGGTTGTATCTTTGATCTGTAACATTAAAGCACAATGACACATTTGATAGTAATATAAAGGTTGTGAAATGCAAGTATTGTAAGCTGTGCTTCATATGTTCTGGCAAATATCTTTTGGCTTTCACTGCCTTTTTGCAAGCTCTGATAAGTAAATATTTGGAACACTGGCAGTGTCTCAGCACATAGAGTTTCTCTAATTACTACATGGAAACGGTACTAACTGAGGTGCATCTCCATCCGATGGTCATCCAGACAGGCCCCGCCAGATGGTCCAGCTCGTCCCCCCTTCATGCACACCCCCAGGCCATTCTGTCCCCCGAATGCACACCAGCCACACCCAGGTGCTGTAATGCACTCAGCACACTTGGTGTGGTTGCCACAGGGCAGAGGGCAACGAGCAGTTGGTTGAAGGGTTTTATTTTTCCTCTGTTGGATGACAAACCCACATTCTCCAAATGAGCATCGAAGAGGGCGGTAGGCAGGAGGCATACACTGAAATGTAACAAACAGTCACGGGTGAGTGAGTGAGTTTAGTTTAACACTGCACTGAGCAATATTCCATCTATATGGCGACGATCTGTAAATAATTGAGTCTGGACCAGACAATCCAGTGATCAACACAATGAGTATCGATTTACACAATTGGGATACGATGACATGTCCATCAAGTCAGCAAGCCTGACCACCTGATCCCATAGTCACCTCTTATGACAAGCATGGGTTACTGAAGATACAGTCAAATATACAGGATAGTTGTGGAGTGCATATATACAGGAGAGGACTGGTGACTGTATGCTGTCTTGTAAGAATTTCATCTTAATCATGATAACCATGCAAAGTGATATGAAGCCCCAAGACACAAGTGTTGCAAGTTGATCACACAACAGACACCAAACCTGTACTTCTTATTCCGTCATCCACTGAGCACTCCCACTTCTTGTTCAACAACAAACCTCCTACAATTGGGACTTCCCATTTCATTTATTGTTTTCCCCCAATAAAACCAAAATGCCACTATCGAAATCCTGAAATTCTCATTCTGTTGCCCCCCAATACAATTAGCAAGCTGTACATGGGACGTCCCAATTTTCTGCCTTCTGCAACCACGGAATCAGCATGCCATTTCTGGGACCTCCCCATTCTTATTCTGTTCCCCCTATCCAACATTGGTGCCATACTTAAAATATAAGATAAACTGCTGGCACGGTTTAAAACCAACTTTAGTATAATTCCTGCATTTTCACCAAGGACACCTTTTGGCTTCAAACATTGCTATCCTGTTTCATTTGATCCAGGAGCTGACCGACATTTTGAAATATCTGCATTTTTGTTAAAACCTACGAACATGACTGGTCCTGAAGAACATAACACAATCGACAGATCGGAACCAACAATAATTGCATTGTGGCCCAACTAATACAAGCAAATATGTACAGCAAAGAATGTGAATGTGTTACACAGCAGATATAAACATTCCTGTACATATCTGGCTGCAGCAATTCTCATACTGACAACTGGTTCTTATCAATGGCTTGTACTGGCATGGGGTTGTGGGTGAAGTAAGGACATTGTGGACTCACCTCTTGTAGAGTCTCACTCCAGATGCACTCCTGAGAACCCCCTTCCCCTCCACTTGAGGCCAGACACATGTCGCAGGTTTTGAAGGTGTAGCAGCGCCGCGTGCAGTTGTTGGGGGGCATGGAGTTACTGTGGTTCCCCTTCTTGGAGAGGAGAGATGTTGCCACACAGTTCCAGTCATAAATCGGATCTCCACTGATGAAGCGGTTGCTCTCCCCTGTAGCATCAATATATAATATCCTGCCTTCAGTGTTATACACAACACGTAAGGTTAATAATATCCTGCCTTTTGTCTTATACACAACACTTAGGTAATAAACATCATGTGTTGGCCAATTTCCGGGTGTTATTGAGTATTCAAAGCACGGCAATTTATTTGGAACCAACAACGTTAACCGGAGGTTTCAAATGAAATATTCCTGTGCTTCAAATACTCAATAAAACCCAGAAATTGGCCAACACATGATGTTTATCAACATTGTAAATACAAACGTAAACCAAAAGGTCCACATGCTTTTTCTGTCTACTCTCACTGACACTGATTACAGGTACAGCAGTAAAGTGTCATCAGCCGGGCGTTTCAGCATCAGGAACTCCTCATTTGTGACATCATTCAAACTTACGTAACAATATGATTTGAATCACGTCACCACTGCCGACGATGCAACAACACAAATGTGTGCGACATTTGTACGTAATAATAGGCAGCGAATAGTCTAGTTTAAGTTCCCCTTTCTCGTTTGTTTAACGCTGCACCTAAACAATATGCCATGCATATGACGGCAGCCTATAAGTAAACAAGCCGATATCAGAAAATCCAATGGTCGACATTATGAGCATTGACATATGCCTGTACACCAGATACCATTATAATGTTTCCGCTGACTAAATTATTTATGGGACACTGTGTCTGGCAACCTAAAATTTTACCGGTCATGAATTAAATTTGCCGGTCATATCCTATTACCATACTGTAAGTACTCATTTTAAAGTTATTTTTTAGCCTGGGTATTTCCCAAACATAACAACTTTTGCGACCATGAAAGCACAGCCAAGACTGATTTCGCTTACCCATGATTTTTCTATTTTAATACATAATTATTTACCGGACGCAGTATCCGGTTGGCTTTCAATTTACCGGTCCCCAACAAATGTTACCGGCGATTTTCAGGCATATACCGGAGAACGGAAACACTGCATTATATTAGCCATCTCTTATGGCAAATATTGGCTTTTGAATAGTGGCACTAAAAAAGGTGATTTTTACATTTTGATCAGGTCTGAAAGCTTGATAGAACTAGAGACATTTGCTTAATCATTGGGCAGTTTGGGCACTGTTGAATGATGATCAATAAACACAAACTTGTGACACAATCAGAATTGTACAATGGACCCTGTATGAACCTGGAAGAGTCTTGTTGCTTTTATCCATCCTAACAACTCACCTGATCTCTTGACATTCCTGGTCCAGCCACAACTCTCATGTTCAGTACATCGTTCACAGTTAGAGTAGGGACACAAGTATTGGAAGCATTTCTTGGCAGTGTGGATGGAGTCCTGCTGGCCGTTACACTTCGTCTCCTCTTTACAGTCAGCATCCTTCCTGATACACTTGCCTTCTGGACAGTTACGACACCACTGGCACTTCTGTCACAAGGAATGAGCGAGTGAGTGAGTGAGAATGGTTTTATGCCACTTTTAGCAATAGTCCAGTAATATCATGGTGGGGGACACCAGAAATGGGCTTCACACATTGTACCCATGTGGGGAATCAAACCTGGGCCTACAGCGCGACGAGCAAACACTTTAACCCCTAGGCTACCCCACCGCCCCGTCACAAGGAACAAGCAGTGTGTAATACTAACAAACACTACCTATCTCAACAGGGTTTTCATACTCATTAGCTAGTTTCATCAGCTATATGTTATACAATTGTCAATAAGTTTTGTCCTTCCACATTACTTCATGTTTTCATCCCTTTGCTTGGCTATAGTGTTCAGTGGAAAGAGAGTGAGTGAGTGAATGAGTATAGTTTTACGCCGCTTTTAGCAATATTCCAGTAATATCACAGCGGGGGACACCAGAAATTGGGATCACAAATTGTACCCTCGTAGGGAATCGAAGCCGGGTCTTCAGTGTGACGGGCGAATGCTTTAACCACTGGGCAACCCTACCGTCCCCAGTGGAAAGAGAAACAAAACAAGAAAAATCAAAAATCCTAAACTGAAACTATAATGGGAAAGTCTGTAATTATCAAATAGCAACATCTGTACACAATTTGAGAAGAGGTCACGTTCAACTACATTCTTGTATAGCAACATGCACACACTTGAAGAGTTATGAACTTCAAGACATGGTGAACATACTGACAGACTTTAGTTACACGTCACTGCACTACTTGGTCTTAGGAACTCATTCCTTAACAGATGATACCAAAGACTGACTGACTGAGTTTTGGTTTTACGCCGCTTTTAGCAATATTCCAGCAACATCACGGCAGGGGACACCAGAAATGGGCTTCACACATTGTACCCATGTGGGGATTCGAACCCGGGTCTTAGGCGTGACGAGCCAACGCTTTAACCACTAGGCTACCCCACCGCCCCCGGTGATACCAAAGAACCAGAGGACACATTATATCACTCGTTTGTGTTTGCAGCTGGTCCTGAGACTAAACAACACGTCTAACTTTTCTGTCGCTTTTATTTATGTAGCAAAACTGAAGAGACCTGGCTAGCTATTCTCGAAACGTTCATAGCCCTACAAACTTCTTAAGCCCATTCTTAACACATTGGCTACGATCAAAGCTAAGAATTCTTAGGGCAGTGTAGGAAAGATGTAGAAAATCTAGCCTGTCCACAGGACTGGCAGGTCAAATTTTTTACCAGTCCTGCCAAAATCTAGCCTGTCCTCCAAATATAAATAAAACACCTTCGGCAGTAAATATTCAAAAAGGTTATAATCATTATATATATGTCATTGGTTTGCTAAAATTGACCCGACATGAGGACGGACTAGATATTTTTTTAACCCGTCCTCCACAAAATTCACCCGTCTCGGACGTTGGGACGGACTATCTTTCCTACACTGCTTAGGGCTACAAACATTTCGAGAATAAGGCCCAAGCTCAGAATTACAGCTCCCAAATCATTCAGATCAATAAGGACTACCAGAATTGGGAATTGACTTGGCAGTTTAGTAGTCTTGGGCTGGCGTGATTGTCGCACACTGCTTACCGGAGACTGGTCCTTGAACTGAGGGTAGACTGCCAGACACTGGCTGCAGGAGGTGTATCTGTAGCAGTTGGTGCTGTTGTACCACAGGTTGTTACACTTCAGCTTCTTGTCCTCACTCGTACAACTGACAACAGAAAATGTCACTACAACCATCAAACATCATCATTCACTCACTATTTTAGTCAGCAATCTGCAAGCTTGAGCTTTATTATGGCAGTCTGTAAATGGCAGTCTGTGGCAGGCAAACAAGTGGTTGACCAACAATCCATGTCATCCCATGACACACAAAATCACCATGCTCATACATTGTGTCCTTCCAATCCTCAATTTTTGTTTCCATGGCAAAAATGTAGAGTGAGTGAGTGAGTTTAGTTTTATGCCAATTCTAGCAATATTCCAGCAGTAAAACAGCGGGGACACCAGAAATGGGCTTCACACACTGTACCCATGTGGGGAACCAAACCCGGTCTTCGCCGTGCCAAGCCAACACTTTAACCACTAGGCTACCCCACCACCACAAGAATGAAGAAGTAGTAGGGCCTATTCTGCCCATGGTTCTCAAATACAGGCCAAAGTTGACTAATAAACACAAGTTGCCTGAGATTAATCTAGACATTTAATGCAAATGACAATATACATTCTCTTTTTTTTTAAATTTCAAAATTCCCAATTCCTCCTAATTTATGAAAATAGAAACATTTAGTAAATCCAACTTTGAAAAATATCATGAATTTTTCCCCAATTTGCCCACCAAGGACTCTTAGTTTGAAGTCCCTAATAAATCCCAAAACATGCACTGATTCTAATACATGATTCATTAATGGCCTCTAACTATACTTCTCTGGAAAACATTATTCACATCAATAGCCCTGGCAGATAAAATTTGGAAAAAAGAATCTGTTCAGTCTCCTACCCTTCAGGTTTCTCTCCATCACTGGAATAGCAGATGGACTCGTTCTCCTTGCCCTCCACCACGCTGGTGCAGAGTGAACACCCTTGCAGATTGCAGTATTTCGTGTCGATCAGCTTGCAGACATCATCAGGAACAGTAAGACGAGACATAGTGCCAACTGTTGTGCCAGAGAAGCCGCCAAAGAGGTAGATGTTATTGTCGCTGACAACAGCTTTGATGCCCACAACTGCTGCTGCCTCAAGTCCTGTTCCGAGGTCTGCAAGCCATAGTACAGAACTTGCATCAATATCACAGTACATCACAATATATAGAGGATATTATATGAGTGCCCATGTCATACTATGTTTACGACACAAGTGTCTAAATGTTGTTATTTCCTGAGCAAAAGCGAGGGATATACAGATATTTCGGCACAAGTGTCGTGAACATAGTATGATATAGGCATGAATATAATGCTTTATTTATTACCAAAGTCGTCAAAAAGAGGAAAATAAATCCAAATCTACTTTCAAACATAGACTGGCTAACTGCCATCGCTGCATGTAGAACGCAACGTCATGGAGGAAACATGACATATAGCATTGTTCATGACGTCATGTCACCATGACAAAGTGATATTTTGCCCCAAGGCATCGTTATGAAAAATATGAATGCCAATAATTTTGCCCTCGTAGATAATAAATCACAATAGTACAGTAATTGTAACAACTTCACAATACCTTTATCAATATCACAGAATTTCAGACAATATCACAGTGCATCAATATCATATATCCTCTCCTGTGTCACAGAACTTCAACCAGTATCACAGAACACAAGTGAGTGAGTGAGTTTAGTTTTACGCCGCGCTCAGCGATAATCCAGCTATATGGTGGCAGTCTATAAATAATCGAATCTGGACCAGACAATCCAGTGATCAACAGCAGGAGCATCGATCTACAGAATTGGGATACAATGATGTGTGTCAACCAAGTCAGCGTGCCTGACCACCCGATCTCATTAGTCTCCTCTTACGACAAGCATGGGTTACTGAAGATCAATTCTAACCTGGATCTTCACAGATCCACAGAACACAAAGACAGACTCAGGGTTCAACAATACACTCCCTCTCTTCCACCCTACCACTCACTCATTATCACTCATCATTATTAATGAGGATTTTGACACCAGTTATCATAAAAAAGGAAAACTGATTTTGTTACCTTTGTCAACTTTGTGCCTAGTGTTGCAGCGATACTTGTAAATCAGCAGATGTCCAACGCGACTCCCGTCTGCCTCCAGGCCACCGATGACCACCATTTTGTCCTCCAAGTGCACGGCAGTATGAAAGGCCCTGGCAGTAACCTTCAACGGACGAAAATCACACTCATTTTTTGTCAAAGCTGTCAAGAATTATTGACAATATTTGTTGTTTAATGCTGGATTCAATAATATTCACATCAAATGACAGGGTTGTGTAAATAATCTAAGCTATACAAGACCACTCTTTCCATGTCATCCACTGTCATAGGACTTTCTTGAACCATAGAATACCACATACATGAACAATATTTTGTTACATGTAATTTTCAGTCCTTTTTTGTTTGCAGAGGCTTCTTTAGAGAAAATATTTTCAAAATATAAAAGCAAGAGAAGATGAATTGGGATTCAGTTTAAGGAAATTGATCTGAATTCCACATTGACATAAACGCCTAATTGCATCCTATACCCATAAATTCATTAAAGCTGAAATGTGCACACAATTTGATCACATTAAGTCCCAAAAAACCCAACATTAACTGGTTACTAGCTTAGTACTGAAAATACGCTTTGAGATATTTAATGTGTTTAAAGATCAACGTTGTGTCCACATGGGTTTAGACACAAATCAGAAATATTTTGACATGCACTCAGTACATCTGTACATAAGTATAAGGATTTGCAACAAAAGGCTGCCATGGTTCATATTTTACATAGCCAAATCAAGACCTGTAAATACACACATAAATCATTTTGAAGGACAATCCATATTTTTAGTTCCAATAGAATACAAAGCTTTTTTGAGTAACGCTCAAATTGAATGTCTGACTAACGAAGTTGAACACCTTTTGTAACGTGTAAACCTATAGTTTCAGCACATATCTCACCTCGCCATTCCCCTCCGGAACCAGCAAACTCCACATTGAAGCAACTACGTCATAGGCGTGCAGTAGGTCACGGGACACATACCAGCTGCCGGATTTGTACATGTAGCCTCCATAAACGTAGATTGTATGTGATATGGGCTCAAACACTGCACTGTGGCCATACAGACCTGAAAACACAGCACACAGTAAGGTCATACCACCAACTACTGTCTCCTGTAATAGGCAGTATCAATAGTTAGTCAAGAATATGTAGCTAGAGAAACAAGTACAGAGAATGAGTGAACAGAATTAATTTCCATATCAATTTCAGTTTTACATGGGAGGAAAACTGTATGTGGTTGGTTGTTTTGTTGTTTAACCCCGCACTCAGCAATATTTCACCTATTTGGCGGCAGTCTGTAAATAATCAATCCAGTGACCAACAGCATGAGCATCGAGTGAGTGAGTGTAGTTTTACGCCGCGCTCAGCAATATTCCAGCTATATGGCGGCGGTCTGTAAATAATCGAGTCTGGACAGACAATCCAGTGATCAACAGCATGAGCATCAATCTGCACAATTGGGAACCAATGACATGTGTCAACCAAGTCAGCGAGCCTGACCACCCGATCTCATGAGTCACCTCTTACAACAAGCATGGGTTGCTGGGGACCAATTCTAACCCAGATCTTCACGGGTCAAAACTGTATGTGACACAGATCAGACATTAACCCCTTACCATACACTACAAGCAATCAATTGGGTTTCCAAATATGAAATTCAAAGGGAAGATTGGTCATACCCTCAAATTCTTTAAGTGAGAAAGTCTAATTTCACAGATCACTATGGGAGACAACAGAAATGGGCTTCACTCATTGTACCATGAGGGAAATCAAACCTGGAACCTCAGCATGATGACTAAACACTTTAACTACTGGGCTAAAGCCTAGGAGCAAGTTGGTCTTATACCTCAGGTTGGAAATATCCAAAATGTGAAACAAGGACAACCAATGAGGTCAGGTGTAATACTGACAGACAGTGATATTATCATTAATTGGAGCTGGAATTCACACTCAAGGGACACATCTTAGAACAGTTAACTGCAAAGGACTAGCACCCTTTGGTTGAAGATGAATATCCATGTCCACTCACCAACAGGGATAGCACCACGGAGGAGCTCCATCCCGAACAGCCTCCACCTCATGTCCTTCTTCTCATCCACCTTGTATTCAAACACCATGTCTGAGAAGTAGTCTTCTGTGGAGAAGCCACCGATCACAATCAGCATGGCATCCCCGACTTCAGTGAGACTGTGGCCGGCCAGAGGGGGCACATACTTCGGTACCTGAAACACACCATTCCATGTTTACCTTACCCCACTGTTCATCTGTGAACTGTCCAACAGGAACCTACTTGTCATATCAGTCTTAGAAATTCATCCATCATTCATGATGGTCAGTTAATGAATTTATAACAGGTATAATTAGTGGTAACACACTTAGATTACCCGACAAAGGTTCCCATTTGGCATTTCTTGTGTCTGGAGTAAATATTCAACATTATAAACATCGATCAAAGGATTAACCGATAACACGCTGATTGATTAATTACTTTTATCTTACACAGTTTTGTCAAAGGTAGTGTTTATGTATGTAGATTTACTAATCTATACTGAATACACTCTGCGTGTCGATTGTCTCTGCGTAAAACAACGTCCTTCTTTCAAAGAAAGATTAACCGGCAATACATTGATTGATTGCCCATTATTGGCTAACTAAATTACTGTTTTTAATGAAAGGCGGACATTCGCGAATTAGTTGCCAGGTGTGCTATCTTGGGTGACCAATGAGACTATACACCAATACCTGAAAAGATTTATCACTTTTTCAGTATATTAAAACTGTTAAAAGACACATCATTTGGAACAGTTTTGTGGATATTGATGGATACATTCCTCAAACAAGGTAATGGCCTGATATTGTTCCTATAACTTTAATCTGTTTTAATTTTAATATTTGCATTTTGTTTTTATTCATTTTGTGTAGCATTCAACAGAATCATTGTTTTTCGCCGTGAAGTGTAATGAGACAGACGACATACACTAGGGTGTGTGTAATGCGAATTATGATTCACATTGGCAAACTATAAAATGTCTAGATATTACAGTTCTGTTATAAATTCACTATAAGTATCAGCAGATCGTCAGCTTTTATTTAGTTTCAAAATGCATAAAAGTATGATAATAAACTAATTAGGATTATAAGACCAAATATAAAGGCGCACATTGACTAGTATCTACATACTGGTGAGTGGACATTAACCATGGGAATGTAGCAAGAAATTTATCGCGCGCAGTATTGTGACTTCTCGACCCCCACCTGGCTTCCGTGGAAGAAATCGTTATGTTATAAGTTGTGTCATGCAAAATCCTTTTGGTTATGATTCCAATACATATTTAACTTCACAGGTAGAAAGTAGTTTTGATTTTCTAACTTGATGAAAACAAACTATAATCTCATTAATTCTACCAGACTTTACGATTTTCAAAATGGTAGCCCTGTCGGGAACATCCATGAGTCTGTGGATAAATGCTATTTAGGTTTGTTTTTCACTGAGTTACAAAATCAAAACTACTTTCTACTGGTAGTAAAATATGTATTTTATTGATGGCCAATAGGATTTTTGCATGACATAAGCGTGATAACATAACAATTTCTCTCTCTGGCAGCGAGGTGGGTGTCAATATAATACTACTTACAATATTATTGTTACTTGACCACAACCTCACTTCGAGGAAGAAATCGTTATGTTACAAGTTGTGTTATGGAAAATCTTTATGGTCATCAATCATATACATATTTTACTATAACTAGTAAGTAGTTTTGATTCTTTAACTTCCGTGAAGCGATCTGAACACAAGTAAGATATCGTTTCAGGCTTCCACAGCGGCTAAACCGCTCACACAAACATAACCCATTTAGCACGAACTGCGGGGTCCTGTGGAAATCTGTGCATGGTGACACCATCACCCGACCCCTAGGAGCAATTGATGACAAAGCAACAGCGATTCGGCATGTAAAGTGGTTGATGTCGAGAAATCATCAAAATGATGAGCGTGCTACACACTTTCTATACAACTAACTGAAAATCGTTCCTCATATGACGTCACTGCAGTGCTCTGGCGACAGAGTTACGTAACCTGTCTGTGGTTTCGTTGGCGGGCGAGAGGGAAGCAGGCGACTTTTTGGCCACTTTTAATCGCTCGGTATTAATTAACCACAAGTTTTTAAAGAATAAATTTGGTGTTAATGGTTAAAAGAGTAACAAAAAACAAAGTTTAGTGGTTCTTTAACACATTGTGCCCATGTGGGGAATCGAACCCGGGCCTTCGGCGTGACGAGTCAACGCTTTAACCACTAGGCTACCCCACCGCCCCTTCACTGATCAGCAACTTCACCCCTATAAACTCGGGTGAAACGTTTTTCCACAGTATTAGTAGAGCCTTTATAGAGTAGTCTTTGGTTCAGTATACTGTAATGCAATTTGGTATTTTCGATTTTCGTACCGTCATTTTATTAACCTTTTTAAAACGTTTCTAAAATGTCTAGAAATTGAATCATTTTGTCAAAATCTATCTAGGTTTGGCTCTTTTTGTCAATTTTCTGCATTATGAAAATATCTCATTTACCGAACCGAAACGGACCAAACCGAAGACCTTGTACTGCAATACATACGGCACCGTGGTAAGAGTGTACCGTTTCACCCCTACTATACACCTATAAACATTATCATAACAGTTCATACAAAACTGGCACAGGTATCACAGGATGTACACTGGAGCAAGGGACATAATCCAAGACTCCCACTGGGACAGAGGTGATGTACGTGACATACCAGAGAAGTCTCCATTGAGGCACACCCCCGATGGTGGGGTTCTCTGTGCTGCCGCACCAGCCACACCCATGCCCATAGTTCTGGATGCAGGACTTGCACGTGTTGTAGTGGGAGCAGTCGCTGCAGTTGATGCCCTTGCGGTCGTTGTCCACCCAGCCTGTGCACTCCCCCATCAGGTAACGTGTGACGTAGTCAGAGAACGGCAAACACTTCTTGGTGTTCTTGCACCATGCGCACTTCTCCTGCCCGTGGGTGCAGTCAATGCATGTGGTGCGCCTACAAGGTTTTAAAAATAATTTTGATCATACAACTTTTGCACATTTGTGGTAAAAAACAATGAGCTTACAGCTTTCAGTCTGCTAAATGTGGTACTGTTTACATTACATCAATATTTGCAGTTTCTGTCTCAATAGCATTTTTAGAAATATGGTCATTAAATCAAGAAGATCAGGGGAATCGCTTCCTTTCCAAAACATACCAAGAGAACATCATCCAGAGTGCTATTGATCTCTTGGTATCAATGTCCCTTCTAGAAGACAAGTGAAAGTGGCCATTTCATTAATCTTCCTACAAGGACAGGCCTACTGACTACACCACCCAAATGTTCTTGGTACTGTAGTCGCCCAAATCCACTTCTCAGCTACAAGCATATCCCCAACTGAACAATAGTTAATGGGGCCATCTTAACCTGTCTTCAGCTGAAGTACACAGCTGAAGCACATGGCAACAGAAGATTACTAAGCCACCAAATTCCTACCTGTGTGACACTGATTATATGCAAAGATACTAGCAACCCTTTCAGCCATGGTACTAACACATTTGCCCCTGATCCAATCATTTGTTGTAGCATCATTGGAAAGCTACACAGAACATGTAAACATTGCAATAATGGGTCCTAGTCAAAAGGGCTGCAAGAAAGTCAAAATGGTCGCAAACCCCTAGTCAAAAGGGCCTCAGACCCTAGTCAAAAGGGTGTATATAAATAAAGTGTATTATAGTAAAAGGTTATATATATCTATACAATGTATACTTTATACATACTTGTTCAGTTTTAAATAATGTAATTTTTTTTAGTAAATTTGATATTTTTATACTTATCCTGACTCATGATCTTTTGCTTATCTCCCTTTCCTTTTCGAATGGTAGTGGAACACTTGAATCCCATGAATTCTGAATTTCTGCCCATGCACTTGGATCTGCTGTGAAATCCAAAGTGTCTTCAGCAGGGAGGTCGGGAGGGCTTCTCGTCATGAGTCAGGATAAGTATAAAAATATCAATTTTACTTTAAACATTACATATGTTTACTTATCCTGACTCATGATCTTTTGCTTATAGAATCAGACGGATTGGTGGTGGGTCAAACCACTTCGTGGATTCATCAGCTGTCCCTAGATACGTCCTGTATCCCCCCCCATGGGAACTGCGAAACGGCATTTCCGTGATCCTATTCTTCCAACTTCCGTTATAACTCGGGGGGACCACTTTCTTGTCTTACTTCAGTCTCAGACAAGTTGAATCATGTTGATTCATGTGGCTACAGATAAACTAGTATCTTCTTATTACTAGATATCTTATAACAACCCATAGATTATGATAAGATCTTTATCATAAATGAGTTGCGACCCTTTCACGTACAGGTAAGATCTTTACCCATACAGGATCTTTAATCACTCATGCTAGCCTGTCCTAGACTGTGCGCATGGACTTTCATACTAATACTTTTTTACCTTAGTAAAAGTTATCAACAAGTCAACGTGATAAAGGGTGAGATTTTCCAACTCAGCTCCTTTGTGGAACCGTTAGTAGCTGTGCTACAACGAGAGGCCCAAATTGGTGAATGCCTGAGACGTCTTCAGTGGCTATGTCTCGGAGGTAGAGGTTGGCAAACACCGTATCAGACTTCCAAAAGCAGCCCTCCATAATTGCTGATAAAGAGCAATTTCCATGCATAGCTAGTGTTGACGCCAATGCTCTGACTTCGTGTGGGTTGGAAGCTCTAGGAGGTTCTAGTCCTGCTGCTTTATAGGCTCTCAATATGACAGCTCGCATCCAGAACGATATCGTCGTTCTTGAGACTTCTGCAGATGTCTCTGTGGAGAATGGGATGAACAGGCGCTTGCATTTTCGTCTCCTTGTCTTAGTCTTTGAAGATATATCTTCAGGGCTCTGACCGGACACAAGGATAGGTCCTGCATATCCTCTGGTCTGAGGATTGTAGATAGCGCTGGTACGTAGAACTGTCTATCTGGCTGACGAGGTAGTTGGTTCTTGACAATGAAGTCCCATCTAAGTCCTAGATGAACTGCAGCATGTTGCCCTGTGTCAAATCTGGTTCGACCAAAGTCCAGCGCATGTATCTCTGATATTCGAGCTGCCGTGGCTAGCGCAAGCAGGAACAGAGTCTTCTGTGTCAGCAGCTCGAGTGTAGTCTGGTCTAGAGGTTCGTAGGCATCACTGGTAAGATGACGTAGAATTACATTCAGATCCCAGGCCGGAGCTCTGAACTTCTTTTGCTGGTCCCCCAGTTTAAAAGATCTCAGCAGAGCAAGTAATTCTGGTACTCTCGTCAAATTGATGCCTGTTTTCATGGTAATCACTGCACTGATGGTGGCGAGGTATGTAGATAATGTCGAACCTTTCAGATGTCTGGTCTCTCTAAGATGACACAATATTCCGCCACTTGAGGATGAGTAGCTTTCATCGCAATGAAGTCTTTTGTCTGTTTGATCTTCAACAGTACTTTCGGTAGTAATATCAGTGGTGGAAACGCATAAGCGTTTAGTCCTTCCCATGATATGTTCAGTGCATCTGTTGCCCAGGCTTGAGGATCTGGAACTGGTGAGACAAACGTCTGTAGTTGTTTGTTGAACCTCGTGGCAAACAGGTCTATGCATGGGGGTTCTATTTCCCTTATGATAAGCCGAAAATGCTTCTGGATGGAGTATCCATTCCATAGGTGACGGGTGCAGTGGTCGGGAGAGAGTGTCTGCAAGCACGTTCTTGGCTCTGGGTATGTGACACGCCTTTATCCAGATGTTTGCCTCCTCCATGATGTCAAACAACTGGAATGTGAGCTGTAGTAGGCTTGGTGACCTTGTAGATCCTTGCCGATTTATGGAGAATGCCACTGTAGAGTTGTCCGTGTGGACCATCAGCATTCTGTTGATCAGTGAGCTCGACCATAGTTGTAAGGCGTTGATCACGGCTTTCATCTCCAGCAGATTGATGTGAAAATGCTGCTCTGTTTGGACCACTTCCCTGATGCAACTTGATTGTTGAGATGTGCACCCCAACCTTGTATCGATGCGTCTACGTAGAGATGTGTGTCGAAGGCCGGCTCTTGTAAATAGGTCCCTCCGCAGACGTTCTACCTGTGAGTCCACCAAAGTAGGTATCTCTTGAGATTGTCTGGCAGCAAGATAGGGTCGACACTGTCCAGATGTTTTGTCAGGAACCGTTGCAGCGGCCTTAGTTGTAACCTTCCTGTGCGAGTCAAGTCCTGCGCCGAGGTTAGCAGACCGAGTAGACATTGCCATGTTCGTATTGTTAACGGAGAGATGACTGCTTGTGGAATCATGGCTTGTATCTTGACCCACAATTCTGGGATCACAATTCGATTCTGTGTTGTGATAATTCTTATTCCCAGCAATTGAAGATCTTGTTTTGATTCTAACTCCAACTTCATCAGGTTCACCAGTCATCCTAGTTGCGTGAGCAACTTAATTGTGAAGTTCAGCTGCTGTCTGAGTTGATTGGCACTGTATGCCTGTATGCCGTCGTCCAGATAACCGGCAATGCGTAGACCTCGATGATGCAGATAAGTGCCGAGAGGCTTGGTTATTTGTATGAATAATCATAGAGCTGGCGATATTCCAAATGGTAGGACGTTCCATTGGAAGTGCTAACCTCTGATTGCAGTGATGATACATCATATGTTGATACATCATATATACGCAGGCGATCTGTGTTGATCAGCATACATCGAAGCTTTGTCTCTTTATAGCAAGGCTGGCTCCAGTGTAGCATCGCAGGGGACAGGTACTCGTACCAACTTTTATCAGCGACAACTCCCAAAATAAACATCGTTTATCCTGCTGTCAAGGCTAGATTCCCATGATGATTCCTTTCATCAAGTAGGTTGTTGTCCGAAACTGAACCTATACAGGTATAAGGTTTGTGCAGGTTGTAGAGTTGTGCAGGCTGTAAACTGTAGAGATCGCACATGTTATAGATCTTTTTGTTGAGTTTTAAACTCAGACAAAACCATCCGTTTTCATCATTGCTTCGTTTTATTCAGCCGTATGGTAATAGAGTCGACGTCAACATCCTGCCTGTTGATGTAAGGGTTTGTTAACCCTAGGGTTCGCGAACCCTGTAGATGTCTGCTTTGCTGTTATCTGCCTGTAGATCTGAGAGTTTTCGAACCTTGTAGATGTCTGTAGCTTTCTCAAAGATGTGCGTAGGTTAGAAGGTACCTTGGATATAGGTTCAATCGGAGGAATAGTCACCGAGTTAAAGTTGTCGTTGCGCATCATATAAGTGTAGACTTCATTTTTATCCTTAGAAAGAGACTCCAAGTTCAACCCGTTGGCAATCCACGCTGTAACCTCTGAGTCTGGGAAGTTTGCAAGTCCAAAGTCTCCTGATTATTAGTGCTAGGTCTCAACGACTCATCTATCTGCGAACATGTATCCCTTCTCAAACCTTCATCATCCTTTCGCGAACCTGTCTGAAGATTCCTCCCTATGCGAACGTCTATCTTGGGAATGCTCTCTTCGCGAACCTTTATCTGTAGATACATCTCTTCGTGAACCTCTGTGAGGTGAGCTCTCTCTTGCTTGAGCGCCTATCGTGAGTCTTAACTCCTGTGCTGTGAGCCTTCTCTTCGCAAACCCTGTCTTATGGTGAGTGACTTCGCGAACGTCTTTGAGAGATATGAGATCTCAACCTAGAGCGGCTAGGTGTAGGAGCTGGATCCTTCAATGTTCTCGAACGTTGAGGGCTCACAGATGTAGAATTGAGAGTATGCATCTCATCTCTTCTATCCTCCAAGATGACAGAGTCGACCGACTGTAGAGACCTCGCAAAGGTGTACGTTCGCCAACGTAGTTCTATGAGGAGTAGGTTCGTGCAGGCCCGTAGGTTCGCACTGGTCCATAGGTTTGCGCACGGTGTAGGTCAATGAGAGGCTTTTCCTAGCCTTCGCTTCCTCCTGGAACCTATGTTCCATCATGGCCATCATCTGGTTGGTGAATTGTTTCATAAATTCCCCTGGGTCAAAGTTCTGCATAGGTTGAAGCTGCTGCGGTGTAGATGAAGCCTTCGCGAACACTGATGAGTTCTGTGCCTCAACTTCACTCCGAGAAGTAAGAGGTAGTTCGTCAAACAGCTGTCCTGCTGTGACCGTTGTAGGGGACGATCTCGTAGTTGTAGAGGTCGATTGAGTCGCTGATCTCATAGATACTTTGGGTAGAAGTAATGGGCGTTCATCAAAGACGTCTAATTCGTGTGGAGGTAATATCTCTTCGTTGAAGGATTTCTGCTGCGTTGATGTACTAGCACGCATAGATTTGCCCTCCGATCTGGTAACAGATGCTTTCTTCTGCGTTGTAGAAGAGGATGACGTCTTTTTCTCAGCCTGAGACGGAGTCGACTGCAATGTAGACGATCTCTTCTTGGCCCCCTTACCAGCAGACTGCCCCTGTAACGCACTAAACATAGCACAAGTATTATGAACATCAGCAGTAGCAAGCAACATACAGTTTGAGGGCTGATCTCCTGTTTTATCAACCGTGACTTGAGATGACTTTCTCACCAGATCCATGGCACGTCTATAGATATAAAACAAATATTGATTAAATTGAAGATTTGATAAATCAACACAATAAGTACAGCGCAAGCTGGAAACACATGGTTTTATGCACGAAGGCACTGGGGGGTGAGGATCAGCCATGGATAACCTGTGCCTGCAAACACTGCAAGATTTCATGAAATGTAAACAAAGTTACATGATGATGAAAACACAACTCAAATGTAATTAATTTCTACAATTTTTTTACAAATACTACATAGTAGTTATAGTCAAATCCATATACATCGTAATTTTGAAGAATAGGACCTAAATATAAAAGGATATAATGCCATATACGGGACTCCAGTGCTCGCTTGGGCGAAAAGGGAGGTAACTCGTGGGTGAGTGTATTTATACTTCCGCTTCGGGAACTTGAAGGGATTCAAGTGTTCCACTACCATTCGAAAGGGAAAGGGAGATAAGCAAAAGATCATGAGTCAGGATAAGTAAAAATTATCATTTTCATGATCAAATATTTCTTGATTAAGTTTAAAAACATACCTATATATGTGATATATTTAAGGTGTTACAAATCTATCAATAGAATTTCTAGATAAAAAACTTTAATATCACCTGCATACCGACCTTTCTGATTGCCTGATGACAATCTAATAGCATATTTAAATCTGTAAATATTTTGACAAGTCAAACTGGTGAAAGCCATGTCTGTTAGTCCTGTTACATAATAAGATTTCACATAATCAATAAAGTGAGGAAAAGCCAGCATGCCACCTAATTTTGGCATTTGCTGATATAGACAGACAGATTGTTTATTTCTCTGCCAAAGTATTTGTCATAATCATATATGATAAGTGTTTTGCTACTTAGGTGAAATAAATAACCATCACATACATCTATTCTTTGTCAGCATTTTCTTTCAAATATTGAAAAAAATATTGTACTAAAAACTGAACTAGTATGTATAAAGTATACATTGTATAGATATATATAAACTTTTACTATAATAGACTGTTGAAAAAAGATGTTATTATTTTTTTATATGGGGCCCTTTTGACTAGGGGTTTGGGGCCCTTTTACTTTTTGATGCGGCCCTCTTGACTTTTTGATGCAGCCCTTTTGACTAGGGGTTTGCGGCCCTTTTGACTTTCTTGCGGCCCTTTTGACTTTTCCGTTTTGGGGCCCTTTTGTCATGCGGCCTTTAAACCTGTTCCCTGCAATAACTGAGTGGACTTACATGTGACAAGGTGGATGGCATTCACTAGCATTGCGTATTGTCTGCTCCACACGTCCACGCCTCGTATTACACTGACCATCGCCGGACACCCACTCACACAGGGGGTTCTGGGAAACAGGAGAACAGTGATGTATTGTGTCATACCCGTCTGGAGAGTTATACATAAAAAACTCAGATACATCACATTACTCAGCATACACAAAAACTTACCAGCAAACAATGTTAAACATTTGCAAAGTTCAGAAAGTAACAGAGAAGCCAACACTGAATCTAATGAAAGTGGAGTCACAGAAGGTGCAAGTTGGTGGTGAGTGCATAGCCGGCTCTGCCATTTTGTTTCACTTATATCCAGGCTTAAACATGCCTTCGAGAAAAACTTTGAGAAACTTTGTCGTCAATAACACGCAATATACACAATCGAGACCCAAATGATCACACGCTAAGCTTCAGAATACTGTTACCGGTGTCAGCTCAAATAAATCACTGGTGACTTACAAAATTGTATAGCATTAACAAGAATCAAGAATTTGTTCTAAACACTCAGAGTTTTCTAAAGACAAATCAGAGAGTGGATTTTGTGTTTGAAAATCAGAGTGGTTGGCATCTGTGTGTATACCCACAGAGATTTGACATGATACTTACTGAAGCACAGGTGTGGCAGCTGACGTAGTAATCACAGCACGGGCACTCAGCCATGCTGGTTATCAGGTAGGGATCATGAGGGCCATTACATGCTGACTCGTTGTTCAGAGTGTCGCGTCTCAAGCAGGTGTCTGTTGCTGGACACCAGCTACAGAGGGCATCGGTCAAACAAGACAGGCAGTTGTAATGGCCACTGCAGGAACCGTTGCTGTATGGTTCAAGGAACTCGTAAGTGATGTCTCGGGGCTGGTTGAAGGTGGCTTTGATTTCTCGGTTCCATGCCAGTTTTGTATGTGATGAAGGATAGAACATATCGTTGCTTTTCAGGTTCTGGCTGCTTTTTATTGTTTGTTCTGTTTCTTGTTCCACGTAGTACTTGAAGCCACGCTGAACGTAGGGGAAGACTGGACTGTTGTCACGACGACGAGCCATTTTAGAAGTATATTCATTCTGGCTCTCCACATGTGAGACAAGTTCCTGAAAGTAAACCACCTTGTCATAAAAATATCAGAGTGGCCTCTTGTCACAACAATGAGCCATTTTAGAAGTATCTTCGTTCTGGTAAAGTGTCGTATATTCAGAAGGTGTCTAAACCTGCTGAATGCCTATCAGGCATAAGGTAAAATGCCATATATTAAAAAGGTGTCTACCCTTTGGAATGGCTACCAAGCATGAGGCTAGGGGTCATACATTCAGAGAGTGTGCAACCCTACTAGATTGTAAGGCAGCATGGAGGAAGGGGGCAGGGTCTTAAGATTCCTCAGGTTTGAACTGCTGTGACTGACCTTGTGATCCCTGGCTTCGTCTCGGCTGAGGTAGAGCTTTCCCTCAGCCTGCTGAATACCATGGTACAGACTCAGCTGGCGGTCAGGGGTAGGAACTGCATTCAGTGGATGCAAGTAGCCAATAATGTCAGCACTATACACAAATGGCCGTGCTACTTCTCCTTCAAAGTTGTACACAAACTTCAGTCGAGCTTCTGCCTTGCGAATCAGGCTCACCTGCAATTGATTACAAGAGTGTGGAAAATGTGCTCTATGTTCCTAACTCATTCTGGGCACGCAGTACTGAACTCATCATCATCATCATCATCATCATCATCCAGTAACACTAATGGTCAGGGATTCGTCATGGTTATATATCTAGACTTGCTAAAAGGCCAATAATCCGACAGAACTCTGAAGCAAATGTCAGCAAAAGTTCCTAAACTGGAATTACAAATTTCCCAGCCTATGTAGTAACTGATTTTATGGCTTTTAGAAGCAACGCGTATTTTGTCAACCATTTTTCGAAAAACATAAAAAATTCCAATCCTAAACTGCCTGACAAGTTCACTAGATTTACAGTGATATTTCTTTGTGGTTTAATGCCAAAGACTCAGCAATATTCCAGCTATATGGCGATAGAGAGGCTTGGATAGTTCCCTGTTCATACTGCTGATTTATAAATGTGCACCAGGTGATCTTGAGAGTCAAAGAAGGCAAGATTGCTTACTTCATCAGGAAAGGTGGTGTTCTTGGGACTCCTATAGCGTGCATCCAGTGGAGGCCAGCAGGGTAGTCCTCCAGCACACACTGCTCTATGGTGGTGAGGTTCCGCTCAGTCCCTCCCACCAGCCCTCCAGCCCCGACACAGTGTTGTTGGCCGACTCACATGTTCCTTTCGGATCTGGAACAAGCAATTAGGGGCTTCATGATTAGCTTACTTTTGTGTCCAATACAGCAACATTATTGACTGTTTGTAGCAGATTAAGACAACTTGTATATTAATCAAACATTTACGCCCATGTTGTTTCTATCTTACCGTTGTACTTTTATGCAGTATGTACATGGCATCTGCAATAATTCTGCAGTGATATGTAAACACTGAAATTCATTTGTACATGATATGTCTGTTAAATGCTCGTCAAACATATGTGATCCTGTATTTATAACATGGAATTGGGAAATAAAAGACTTAAATGAAAAAAATAAATAAAAGAAATGTTTAACTTTCTTGCCAAATTTCAAACGCTGAAATTAATTTCAAGGTCTGGTGAAACCTGAAGCTGGCCTAGCGGATATGTCTCTGTTAGAGAGTAGAACAAATTGTTGGTAACAGTTAAGCCATGTAGTGACGCTTTAGTTTTGCTGAAAAGTTCTTAAAATTCCAACTCATTTTATGATCATATATTTATTGATGGGTCATCACTCAAACCAATGCTCAATCCTGAAATGTTAACCAATCCCGACTTGCTCAATCCTGAAATGTTAACCAATCCCGACTTGCTCAATCCTGAAATGTTAACCAATCCCGACTTGCTCAATCCTGAAATGTTAACCAATCCCTGCACACAGCAATATTCCAGCTATATGATGGCGGTCTGTAAATAACGAGTTTGGACCAGACAATCCAGTGATCAACATCATGAGCATGAATCTACGCAACTGGTATACGATGATATGCCTCAACCAAGTGAGCAAGCCTGACCACCTGTTAGTCGCCTCTGGGCTACTGGAGACCAATTCTAACCCGGATCTTCACGGGTTCCATTCTGAAAGGTAAACTGAGGACGCCATGTTACCTGTCTGTTTCTGACACTTGGCCTCTTTGACACACCACATGCACTTCTCGTTGTACACGCTGAGCCTTGGGGAGTTGATGACATCCACGCCACGACCTTGACTTGCACACGAGCCACATGAATGTAATGTTTTACAGATACCGGGACAATTGGATACGAGTTCACTGTGACTTCTCTCCAAGCATATCTGTAACCATGGTAACATGATATGTCACATGCTTATTATTACCTTCCCAGTCCTTATTGACTGCAGAACGAAGATATTTTGTAACCTGCAAACTTTAACATAGACTAACAACTGATAAAGTGCTAACACCGCTGATGAAAGAGTGTCTAGTTCTTTAATGGTTATGTAATTTGTTTTTAACCCAACACTTAGCAATATTCAGCCTTTGAGACAGTGGCTTATACAGAATCAAGTCGGATCAGACAATCCAATGTCGCTAGCAAAGTATTTTTTCCCTTAAATGTGGGATAAGACACTTTTCAAGACAGGTGTTGATAACCAATGAAAAGTTAAAACATTTTCTGATATCAATCCAATTAAGAGATGGAAATAAATAAAAATTCAAAAAGACCATAGGGGTCATGGACTTTATTCCCAGCTGTTTCACAATCACATCCTAACAAAATACTCTAAGATTTTCAAATTTCAATCATTAATGTGCCCTTAATACATTCAAATATTAGTACATCTTCAGCAGTTCACAGTATATAGATTGTGTGAATTTTGAAATTTTGCGTATAATTTATTATAAAAGGGACCTGAAAGCTTGCACCAAATGTCTCGTGCAACAATCAGACATGGAGGATTAGGAAGACTGAACAATGTACAGCATGTGTCAAAATACTTCAATGCCCTTGGGGACTGAAAGAATCATATTGTTTGTTAGGCATAGGTAATTTCATCTAGCCTGGGGCCTATGGGTTTGATCAGTTTCCATAACTGGTCAAAAACTAATCACATTTAAATTGTTGACTCTGTAATGTATTTTCTAAGCAGAGGTCATCATGAACTGGCATAATAACATTTGAACTTACAGGTAAAAATAGAATTGTGAAATATGCTGGAAATCCCTGAGCCTAATCAGAACTGTTTCTAACTCACCTCTTTCCGTGTGCGATGATAGCAGTGTGTCTTAAACGGTAATCCTATGATCTCACTTCTACAGTACATACACTCTGGGTCACCAACACACAGGTCAGAGGTCATGTAGTCCCTCACAATGGTCAAATGTTGTGTTTTTCACACCGGTGAAAGTCTGGAGGAAGAAAATCATATATACTTACAGTGTATAAAATAGTTTTGACATGTGGCCTGTCCAAGGGCTAGTTGTGTCCAAAAAGTGACCAGTCCTGAGTGAGTGAGTCAGTGTAGTTGTAATGCGCCCGCACTCAGCAATATTCCAGCTATATGGCGGCGGTCTGTAAATAATCGAGTCTGGACCAGATAATCCAGTGATCAACAGCATGAGCATCGTGGGGAACAGATGACATGTGTCAACCCTGTCAGCGAACCTGACCACCCGATCCCGTTAGTAGCCTCTTACGACAAGCATGGGTTACTGAAGGTTCATTCTAACCCGACCTTCACGGGTGACCAGTCCTGAACAAACATGTAATTTTTTAAGTAAAATTGATATTTTATACTTATCCTGACTCTTTTGAAGTGGAACACTTGAATTGAATCCCTTTGAAGTTCCCGAAGCGGACGTAAAATACACTCACCCACGAAGTTACCTCCCTTTTGCCCTTTTCCCGTGCAAAAACAGTCATTTGACCAGCCTTACTTGTCACTCTCTCCTGATTTTTCTGCCAAAGAACTTGCATCTGCTGTGCAATCCGGTGTTTCCAGTGGGGAGGTCGGGGAGGGCCTGCGTCATGAGTCAGGATAAGTATCTAAACATCAATTTTACTTTAAAAATTACATGTTTTTCTTATCCTGACTCATGATCTTCTTTTGCTTATAGAATCCAAACGGATTGGTGGTGGGTCAAGCCACTTTGTGGATTCATCAGCTGTCCTTAAATACGCCTCAGATATTGTCGCTGCCTTTATCTGCGACGCCCATGACGACGCATCATGCGACGCTCAAACACACACACACACACGGGAACTGTGGAAACGGCATTTCCATGATCCTATTCTTCCAACTTCCGCATAACTCGGGGACCACTTTCTTGTCTTACTTCAGTCTCAGACAAGTTGAATCATGTTGATTCATGTGGCTACAGATAAACTAGTATCTTCTTATTACTAGATATCTCATAACAACCCATAGATTATGATAAGATCTTTATCATAAATGAGTTACTTGCCGATTTATGGAGAAAGCCACTGTAGAGTTGTCCGTGTGGACCATAGTTGTAAGGCGTTGATCACGGCTTTCATCTCCTGCAGATTGATGTGAAAATGCTGCTCTGTTTAGGACCACTTCCCTGATGCAACTTGATTGTTGAGATGTACACCCCAACCTTGTATCGATGCGCTTCACGTGAGAGATGTGTGTTGAAGGCGGCTCTTGTAAATAGGTCCCTCCATGCAGACGCGTTCTACCTGTGGGTCCACCAAAGTAGGTATCTCTTGAGATTGTCTGGCAGCAAGATAGGGTCGACACTGTCCAGATGTTTTGTCAGGAACCGTTGCAGCGGCCTTAGTTGTAACCTTCCTGTGCGAGTCAAGTCCTGCGCGAGGTTAGCAGACCGAGTAGACATTGCCATGTTCGTAGTGTTAACGGAGAGATGACTGCTTGTGGAATCATGGCTTGTATCTTGACCCACAATTCTGGGACCACAATTCAATTCTGTGTTGTGATAATTCTTATTCCCAGCAATTGAAGATCTTGTTTTGATTCTAACTCCAACTTCATCAGGTTCACTAGTCATCCTAGTTGCGTGAGCAACTTAATTGTGAAGTTCAGCTGCTGTCTGAGTCGATTGGCACTTTGAAGAACCTGTATGCTGTCGTCAGATAACCGGCACTCGCGTGACCTCGATGCTGCAGATAGGTGCCAATAGGCTTGGTTATTAAGTAAGAATAACCATAGAGCTGATGATATTCCAAACGGATAACGACGTTCCATTGGAAGTCCTAACCTCTGATTGCAGTGATGATATATCATTCTTCCCTTATATCGTGTGAGGCGATCTGTGTTGATCAGCATACATTGAAGCGTTGTCTATTTATAGCAAGGCAGGCTCCCCTATCGCAGGGGACAGGTACTTACGTCAGCGACAACTTCCAAGATAAAGATCGTTTATCCTGCTGTCAAGGCTAGACATCTATTAGATTCCCATGATGATAACAGGCCATAGTTGTATACTGTTTCCAAAGGCTGCCCCGTGCATTACAATGGGTTTGTTTACAAGTCAGTAAACTTGCTGGCCTGCTCTGTCAGTAGGAGGCGTTGTCTGACATGGACCAATCAGCTTCCAAGCATGATGTCACCGGTGTTGTAGCAAGTTGGCCTCCATAAAATCTGGTGCAATAGTTGGTTGAGTAAAAGCGCGTAGTTCTCGCTGCTCATACAAACCTCTTGATTAAGGGTTCCTCCAAGTATAAAATATTGTTCAGCGATATTAATCATGTATTCCCATTGTGGATAATATAAGCCAGCATGATGAAGGAGGCTGTCGAGGGCGTATGTCTGTATGGATCTTGAAGAAATACCGATGTCGAATCTAGTTGATAGGATATAAAATCCTAATCCCCGGCTGAGTGACAAGTGTTAATAATATCATCTGCACGTCCGTTCAAGGATTCTTGAAGGCGTTGTTAACCTTAAGCCCTTTACGAAGGTGCGCCTTGAGGTTCTCCAGTGCTTGAGATATCAGCTTAATAGGTGATATCATATTGGAGTCGAAGTCATCAGCGTATATGCAGTGCGTCTCTGTTGGGTTGGAGTGAGTGAGTGAACTACAATATCCGCAGGCCATCTGCTACCCAGGATAAGACCTCTGCATCCCTGTAGATGAAGGGATTCCTTTCATCAAGTAGGATGTCGTCGAAACTGAACCTACTACAGGTGTAAGGTTCGTGCAGGTTGTAGAGTTGTGCAGGCTGTTAACGTACAGATTGCACACATGTTGTTGATCTTTTAATCATTGCTTCGTTTTATTCAGCCATTATGGTAATAGAGTCAACGTCATCATCCTGCCTGTTGATTTAAGGGTTAGCATAACCCTGCAGATGTCTGCATTGCCGTTATCTGCCTGTATATCTGAGAGTTCTCGAACCTTGTAGATGTCTGCAGCTTTCTCAAAAGCTGTGCGTAGGTTAGAAGGTACCTTGGATATAGGTTCAATCGGAGGGATAGTCACCGAGTCAAAGTCGTCATTGCACATCTTATATGTGTAGACTTCATCCACATCCTTAGAAGGAGACTCCAAGTTCAATCCATTGACTATCCAAGCTGTAACCTTGGAGTCTGGGAAGACGAAGTCGGCTTGTTCATTAGATATATCTCGGTCCAGTAGAACTATGCCTCCGCGAATCATCCTTCTGTGAACCTGTATCCCAATAGTCATCCCTTTTCGAACCTCCCTCTCTTGCATCAACCTTCCGCGAACCTCTATCTCTAGATTCCTCCCTTCGCGAACGTCTATCTTGTGAGTCCTCCCTTCGCAAACCTCTGTCTCTAGATACAACTCTTCGCAAACCTCTCTGTCTTGTGAATCCTCTCTTCTTGAACCTCTGTCTTGTGCTACTCTTCGCGAACATCTATCTTGAGATCCATCCCGACAAGTTGAATCCTGCTTCCGTAAACCTGGTTCTCGCGAACGTCTGTGAGAGATGTGTGATCTTGATCTAGAGCAGCTTGGTGTTGGAGATGGATCCTTAGGTGTTTCTTGAACGTTGAGGGTTCGCAGATGTAGATGTCGAGCGTGTGAGTAGACTTCTCATGCCTTCTATCTTCCTCCATGATGACAGAGTCGTCAGACTGTGGACCTTCGCATAAGGGTATCGTTAAGCCAACGTAGTCTTGTGGCGTAGATCTATGAGGAGTAGGTTCGGCGCAGATGTCCGAGGGTTTGCGCACGTTGTCAGCAGATGAGAGGTTCCGTCGAGCCTTCGCCTCTTCCTCGAACCTACATTCCATCATGGCCATCATCTGGTTGGTGAATTGCCTCATGAATTCACCTGGATCAAAGTTCTGCGTTGATTGAAGCTGCTGCGGTGTAGATGAAGCGTTCGCGAACGCTGATGAGTTGTGTGCCTCAACTTCACTCTGTTGAGAAGTTGGTGGTTGGTCGTCAAACAGATGGCCTGCTGTAGCAGTTGCAGGAGACGATCTGGTAGTCGTGGAAGACGATTGAGTCGCTGATCTAGTAGGTACTTCAGGTAGAAGTAACGGAGGTTCATCAAATACGTCTACTTCATGAGGAGGTATAATCTCTTCGTTGAAGGATTTCTGATGCCTTGACTTACTAGGCCGCGTAGATTTAGCCTCCGAACTGGCTACAGATGCTCTCCTCTGCGACGTAGATGAAGACGAAGTCTTCTTCTTACTAAGAGCCGGTGTCAACTCCATTGTAGCCGATCTCTTCTTAGCCCGTCTGAGACAACTGCCCCTGCAACGTATCTCGACACTCAAGTATTATGAATTTCTGCAGTAGCAAGCAACATAAGGTTAGCAGACTGATCTCCAGATTTATCAGCCGTGACTTGCGATGACTTCCTCACCCAATCCATGGCACGTCCTATAGATATAAGACAAATATTGATTAAACTGTAGATTTGATAAATCAACACAATATGTACAACGCCAGCTGGAAGAACATGGTTAGATGCACGAAGGGCATTGGGGATGAGGATCAGTCACGGATAACCTGTGCCTGCAAACACTGCAAGATTTCATGAAATGTAAGCAAGTTACATTACAATGAAAATATGACACAAATACAAAAAAAATTCTTCAATTTTTTCATATAATACATAGTTATTATAGCCAAATCCATACACAGCGTAATTTCAAAGAATAGGGTCTAAATAAAAAGGATATAATGCTGTATATGGGACTCCAGTGCTTGCCCAACATCCGGCTTGGGCTTAAAAGGAGAGTGACAAGTAAGGCTGGTCACATGACTGTTTATCTTGAGAAAGGGGAGGTAACTCGTGGGTGAGTGTATTTTTTCACGTCCACTTCGGGAACTTCAAAGGATTCAAGTGTTCCACTACCATTCGAAAGGGAAAGGAGATAAGCAAAACTGATTTTGAATGAATAAAAAAAAAAAAAGATGCACAAAAAAAAAAGACGTTTAAACTGATGTAGGGCTCCACGAAAATCAAGATTGGGATAATGTTTTCTTTTCTGATGAAAGTTCTGTCTGGCTTTTTCCGAACTGTGTGAACTTTAGACTAAAGATACCGTGAAACCCATCTACCAACGCCCGAAATGTCACATGTGGGGTGGGATATCATCACATATTACGTTGTTGGGTACTTTCACTGGACATTTGACCGAAGGGACGATATGTTGACCTCCTAAATGATTACCTCCTTCCACCAGCATACGAACACTGTATGAAGATGATTGGATTTTCCAGCATGATAACGATCCAAAACACACTGCAGGCTACACAAAGCTGTGGTTGTAGGACGAAAGTGTTCACATTTTAAACTAGCCCAACTACAGCCCAGATGTTAACCCTATTGAGAATGTGTGGGGACTAAGGAAGGACAGAATAAACCCAAAAGGACAGAAATACTGAGGATATGAAGAAAGAAGTGGTCGAATATTGGGATACACTGTCACACATTTTTCCTTCAAAATTTGATCAGTAGTATACCTAGGGGCATTCAGTCGTGTATTGCAGGGCAAGGTCTCACAAAGTACTGAATAGACAATTAGACTTGAAATATAACTTGAAATGTAATGTATTGTATGCATTGCGGTATAGGAGATCGATATGTTGTATCACAAGCCTTGGATCACAAGATAATACTGTATTGCCGTGATCGATACAACACTAGCATAAGATGCACAATTTTACATCCGGTTAATCTTCAAATCTACATGGGTTCCATCATATACGTCCTAAACACCTTACCTGGTGATGAGCAACTGCGATTGGCACTTTGTAAGCAAGGAGATCCCCATGGACTTTTCCAGAGTAGCCACCGGCTAGCAACATGACATCACCGTAAGCTGCTACTGCTATGTGGCCAAACCGTCCAGTCCTTGGTAATGATGCAGTTGAAAGACCTGTCCGGAAAACAATAGTGTGTTGGGTTACTATTGCTTACAACAGTTTTACATCCTGCTGATGGATTTTACAGCTCAACGAGAGTCTAGACATAGTTGTGTTTTGGGGGTTCTTGGGTTACTATTGCATACAACAGCTGTACATCCTGCTGATAATGGTGGTAGTTTTTAGATCGAAAACTGATATGGGTAATTAAAACAATTTATTAACTTCGTGATGGGGAATGACAGATTATCTTTCCCTTGTCATATTAATTACAGAATTAATATAACTCAGGCAAGATAATCTGTCATTCCCCTGTCATTCACTAGTTATTGCCTAAACATTCTACCTGAAATATTAGTTAAAAATAAAACAAACAAGTGTTTGTCACTGATATGGCAATGTCCCCTGCTGCTAAAGAATGGAATATCTATATTTACTACTTTTTATTTTTTGGTCACATACAAGATGACTGAAATGACTGGTGTCTGCGTAATCCCCCAATGTAGGCTGTCACCAAATTTGAAGATATTGGATACAACAGTGCATGAGATATCACGTTAACAAGAGTTCGAAAAGTGGTCAAAATGTCGTGGTGACCTTGAAAACAAGGTCAAGGTCACCCAAATCGACTGGTGTCTGGGTATCCCCCAATGTAGACTGCCACCAAATTTGAAGACATTGGGTACAACAGTTCATGAGATATCTTGTTAACAAGAATCGGGATGTACGTACGCCGCTGAATACATAGTCCCCGTTCCACGCTATGCGGGGACAAAACTTATGGAAGCACACTTGAGAACTCACCAGTGAAGTGAGTATGATTCATCCACATGTGGCAGCCAAGATGATAGAAATGAAACCCTGAGTTAAAGCATATCTCCAGGCTGTTGTGAAGGTGAGTATTGCCCCCATACACGACGAGGTAATTGCCCAGGATGACAGCAGAATGGAAGGCCCGATCACCGGGAGTACTAGACAGGTTCACCTCTTGATTATGGATCTGTGACCAGTAATTGTCCTCAATATGAAACATGTGTAGTTGATTAATTCTGTGACTAATGATGGAATTTTTCTGCTTGTATCCACCAAACACCACCAGAGACTTGGCTTCCTTGTAATACACCATTGTATGTCCTACGAGACATTTTGGAGGGTAGTTACCTCCCCTTACCAGCACCTTTTCCCATTGTTCCCCCTCCGAGGGGCTATTCTGTATATATGATCGATAAATACCCTATCTTCTGTCTTCCCACCAAATAAATAAATCCACTTTTCCACTGTGGTCAGTGTGTGACCAGTGACAGGCAACGGCTTGACCGTGCTGTTTAAAGCTTTCGGGTCCACTCAAGAGTGGTCAGGTTAAAGAACCACAACTCGCTACTATGGGAGTCATTGGCAAGGATGCCACCAAATATATAGAACCCTTCTTTAAAACCAGCCATTGCATGGCCATTAAGCCCCTCTGGCCAGGATCCAGATTTGGTGAGACTCTCCCACTTGTTTTCCTTCATGCAGTAGCGGACTACATCGCCTAGGACGTTGTTGAGATCATATCCGCCAAACATCCACAAACACTCTGTCTGGTCATGAAAGAAGCCGTGTGAGATGTAATGAGCAGGGTAGCCATTTTCGGCCAGTGTGTACCACTTTCCTGTCCCGCTGTTGTCATGAGTGGAGAGGCTGCAGCTCTGCCCAGTATATCCCTCGTTGCACAGGCACTTCTTCTGCCCATACTTATCACACACACCACTGTTGCTGCATGAGTTAGGACAGAGCCGGTGCTCGCAGCCACTACCGGTGTACTCTTTGTCGCAGATGCAGGTGTGGTTCACGCAGTGTCCGCCCAGTGCAGTTCCAGGGACAGTCATAGACGAAGTAGTTCGTCTCAAAGCCGTCACGCATATAGTTTCTGTCTGTGAACAGGTACAGTAACATCTGAAACAAACAATTACATGAATGTCTATGTTTCTTGTATGAAATAAGTAATTCCTATTGTGTAGCAATACAAAATAAATAACTTTATTACCCCGCAAGCCCCTACCTGAGAAATAAGAAAAACGACGGCTCCATTGGAAAGCAAAAATTAACTTGACTTCCTGTATTACGGCAAAAAAACCCAACATGAATTCCAAGGAGGGACATCTTTTCTCATGAATCCCAACAAGGGACAATTTCTCCCATGCATCCCGTGGCGGCATCTTGTATGTGGCGGGATAGGTCTGCCGAAATGCAACTTTTTTAATCGATAATCGAATTTTGACTGTCAAACGATCAATAAACCAATTATTTGATCGATCAGTGCACCATTATTAAATTCCAAATAAATTATAAATATCAAGACAGTTAAGTGATTGACATCATGAGCATTAATCTACAATGACAAGCATCAAGCAAGTCAGAGAGTCTAAGCATCCAAACCCAATAATGATGGGTTACTGAAGACCAATTCTAACCTAGATCTTCATGAGGGCAATCCTTAGATAACTCTAAATGTAAATTGTCACGACTGAAACAAACCTTTGGAAGACGAACGCTCTGGGCACAAAACTATTGTCTATCTTGCTACTTACATATCCGGAAGTGGCGATAACAGGCGATGGGTGACTGTCCCCTGAGAGGCTGGCCAACATTGGGCTTGTGTGTGAGTCTCCATCATACACAAACAGGAAGTCAAACGAGCACTCTGTCGACATGCTCTTGAACTCCAGCTGGATTGTCTTGTTGGGTCCGCCAGCTGAAAAACAAATGAAACAATGTGAGACACAGTTCACGCAGCAGCTTCCGTACACACTCGTAACATGTATGTAATGAAATACAAGTGAGAGCTATTGTGTTCAAGTATACACTAAATAAATTTGTATTCTCAATTTTCTGTTGACCGACTGAACCTGAGTTAACTCTGAGTGGCAATTTAGAAGTTGGGAAGTGAAATGATGACTTAGTTTATGGATACCAACTACTCACTCGCAAAATAGAAAAAGTTGTTATCCATACAATTTGTCATTATTGAACCAGTTGTGCTGCAGTCAGCAATATTCAAGCAAAATAAAGGAGGATCACTTCTGTAATCCAGAGACAAAGTTTCTGGTGAACATCAGTTTGGTATTACTTTCAGTAGACATGTTGCCAGGATTTCCTGTACCGTATATGACCGTCTATAAGCCAATTTTGAGGACCAAAAATTGCAGTCTGTAGAAGGGGTCGCCTTATCCATGGGTTACGCTTTCACAAACTTTTTTCCAGGGGTAAGAAAATAACATCAGATATCACTGCGTGAACAAACAACAGAAGACGACTTTGTCAGTAGAGACGCCAAATTTACAATTAAACATCACTTGACTAGATTATTTACCTTTTAAGTTATAAGTTGTTTTGCTGGGCATTGTATTATTTGGAGGGATTAAGATTACCATGTGTATCTGTGCCGGAAATAGCAATCAGCTGTGCACACGCTTCCTATCGAAAAAGTTCAAACATGCACAATAATATAACGGGACTTAATTCTGACGCAGTCATCAATAAAATATAATACAGAATACCATTATTTAACCCAAAGAAATATATCCTAGCATTGTGTAATTTTAGTTATAGTTTTTGCTCTATAAATTAATTAAGATTACCGTGTGTATTTGAGCCGAAATAGCAATCAGCTGTGAACACATTTCCTGGTGAACAAGCTCAAACATGCACAATAATATAACGGGATGAATTCTGACGCGAGTCGCCAGTAAAATATAATACAGAATATTATTATTTAACCCAAAGAAATATATCCTAGCATTGTGTAATTTTATCTACAGTTTTATGTAAAATATATATAATCAAAACTAAGGTTATAATGGACCCTCATGAACGCATAAGCATTATGGAATGGGGTAAAATAAGGAAGCCATTTAAATTCACACATTTTTACCGATGTTACTGTTGAATGGGGTAAAATAAGCAAGCCAGTTTGTTGCTACAATACATATGATATTTAGAGAAACAATATATATTATGCATTTTCTGTCAACTACACTTCGCTTCGATCCATGAGTAGACACAATATATATGACAGTGAATTCTTTGAATAATGTGGACCAAAGTTATAATTATTGGTAACTGCCAGTTGTCTGTGGTCTGTGTTTGCAGCGATTAGGACCCCATCGCGGGGATCGAATTTAAGCACCTAAACATACCATTCTGACACTGATTTTAAGGGTCAAGTTTGGGGTCGTCTTATCCATGGGGTCGCCTTATAGACGGTCATATACGGTTACTTAAGACCTGGGCTTAATAGCGGAAAATGACCCCTCCTCGTTAACAAATAAAAAATCCATAATTGCACGCCAGGCTTAAATTCAGGAAATGCCTGTAACTAGGGATGTCACGATACAAAGGTTTCATGAATCGATACGTATCAATGATACTCATGTCACAATTTGATACTTATCACGATACCTATTTCCGCGCATTATTGCATAAATTTAGTTACATTTTGAACATTAATATTACATATTTTATAATTGTCCATGAAAAGATCAACATTTTTATTCTCAGAGATTAAAAGTTCCAATTTCCCATCTTTGTGCATGAAAAGTAATCATTTATAACTCTCATAACATCAAAAAATATTATATAATTGCAAAATGTAAACAATACATAAACATATTTAAACCAATACTTTCAAAACTAAATATCATTTTGAATGTATCAATAATTGTATCATCATATAAAAAAGTATCGATGTATCGATGTATAGTGGCATCCCTACCTCTAACTGAAGAAAATTATTCTAAAACACGATAAAATGGAATGAACCTTAATGAAAATGGAATAATACAGAACACTTTAACCATAAACAGTCATTAAAGAACTTTCATAAACCTGAACTTGAATGACACCCCCTCTTTTGATGAAATATTTGCATACTTTACTCTGTTCTTTGGGATTATATGGGAACGTGTCCTATGATATTGTCACATTTTATTTGCGACTCGCGGTGAGTCATACATATGGTTTGAGATTGTCTATATGAGTAGAGTACCTGACTGCTCTCGGGACTACAAAAGGTTATATATATATATATGAAAACCTCTAACTACAAATGTTATATATGCTGAAGTTTGCTATGTGCTTTTGAAAAGGGACGCCACTCTAAATAATAAAATTTGAAATCTCAATTTAGGCACATGGGCTTAAAAACGGGAAATATCCTGTTTTAAGCCCATGGGCATAATTACGAAAGTGGGCTTGAATATAGGAAATCCCGGTGGTATATGTACTTGGCTTACAAGATGAGTAAAAAAAAGTTGACGACACTAAATTGAACTTGGCTCTAAGCCCATTTTCAGGAGAATTAAATGTTTAAATGTTGATCATTAGATGACCATCTTGAACAGAACTTTACAGATTTTCATGCTTTGAACTGAAATCACAGGCAGACTGAATGAAAATTAAAAGTTGCACTTGTAATTTAACATTTAATTGTAAACTTTAAAGAGTACACTTTAATGTAAAATGATTAATGCCTTGCAGGTGCTTAAAACAGTCAAACATGCAGTAGACGTTTTCATACACTGTACTATGTATACATTTCTAAGATGCCTAGCGGTTAGAACAATCGAATAAAACAATACATTATCAGACAATAAAGGTATAGTTTTTGATGACGTAACAATTGAATGACGTTATCCCGTCACCGCGACATTCTAGTTTGCCCCTCGTAATCGAACCATTTTACATTACGCCACAATGTAAGTGACGTCCACGATGCATGTCAGTTGTCATCGCCTTGTAATGGGCCTCCTACAGTAAACTACACCGTTGCATCCAGTTTCTTGGTTTGCTGTTGCTTCACCCAGCTAACATCACTGGTGGAAACATTACGCTTTATGTTTTACGATGGTTAAAATGTCTCAGTTCGTCTCACAAGTTTTCAGCTTGACACGTAACGCTCGCAATGTTTACATTCCCACAATGCAATTGTGGAATGTCGCTTGACTACTCAACTTCCTCTGGATGTACTGATCTAAACTTACGCTGGTAGTAGAAATGCAACGCTCATATTGCCCCATATGGTTTGTTAATAACAGATGTATTTTAAAATAATTCAGAGAAGATATTTAATCCAAACGTAAACCGTCCATCAAACTGTTATCATTTGTTTTTTTTCTGGTAACGTTCGTCTTAACGTAGGGGCAGACACATCAATAGAACAGCCAGTTTAGCCCCTGTGCGAGGATTCTTAATTTAGGTCACTGACACCGCCGCTTTGTTTTCTGCCTTAAATTAATCGTAATTATCCTTAGAAAGTATTAAATTTGGCATCTTAGAAAAGAATACAGTTAAGCCCTACCACCATGTATATAGTGTAATAAAACACACTTTAAGCCCTGAACTATCATAAAAGCGTCCTCGTGCTTTAACTATAATAGTTCAGGGCAAAAGTGTGTTTTATTACACTATACATGGTGGTAGAGCCAAGTGTATTTCTTAAATAAACATATGTTGAGAAACAATGTGTAATGTTAAATAACTTATACCTTGCGTGTTACCAGAGGCAGTCAAACATACACAAGTTGTAATTCATATACAATACGAAAACATTAAGAGCCGATGCCTACCTATATATTATGTAGTTATGCCTACTTATCTATATGTGAGTGAGTGAGTGAGTTTAGTTTTATGCGCACTCAGCAATATTCCAGCTATATGGCGGGTCTGTAAATAATCGAGTCTGGACCAGACAATCCAGTGATCAACAGCATGAGCATCGATCTGCGCATTGGGAACCGATGACATTTGTCAACCAAGTCAGCTTAAACTGACCACCCGATCCCGTTAATTAGTCGCCTCTTACGACAAGATAGTCAGCCTTTTATGGCAAGCACATGGGTTGCTGAAGACCTATTCTACCCCGGATCTTCACGGGTCACTTATCTATATGTAATATCTGCAAAGAAAGAATGGTCAATGTAACACCGACTACTTTTTTTTTTTATAAGGCCCTATGCCAAACCTGTAACTAGTATCTATTTATATATGCCTTGTTTATGTGAACATCTACTCATAATTAGAATGTCATGTAAACATGTACTGGGAAATAAAAACATTAAAATAAAAAAAAACATAAAAAACTTCCAGATTGCTATTTTCACTGCTACCGACACTTAAAAACTAGCAATTTACTATGGTATTAGAGGTACAAAAGCAGATGATACAAAGTTAAGCAGAGTTTCCATCGTCCACATTACTTAATTATCCAATGGCAGTAGAAAGAACCAACTAGTCATCTAAGGGAACTAGACAGACCTTTTAACCTTAGCTGACCAACAGAACTAGTTAGACCTTTCAGCCTTAGTTGGCTCACGGAACCTGGTATACCTTTCAGACTTAGTTCCTAAAGGAACTAGACAGACATTTCAGACTTAGTTGATTAAAGGAACTAGACAAACATTTCAGACTTAGTTGACTAAAGGAACTAGACAAACCTTTCAGACTTAGTTGACTAGAGGAACTAGACAGACATTTCAGACTTAGTTGACTAAAGGAACTAGACAGACCTTTCAGACTTAGTTGACTAAAGGAACTAGATTTCAGACTTAGTTGACTAAAGGAACTAGACAGACATTTCAGACTTAGTTGACTAAAGGAACTAGACAGACATTTCAGACTTAGTTGACTAAAGGAACTAGACAGACCTTTCAGACTTAGTTGACTAAAGGAACTAGACAGACATTTCAGACTTAGTTG